GTTCAATCCCTTCTTTGATCCGCTGCTGCCCGTAGCCGCTGCCCCTCCTGCACCAGCTCGACCTGCCAAAGCAGCCGCGTAGTCGTGCTCACCTGCTGACCCACCTGACGAAACACCTGACGCGGCACCTGACGACGCGAGCTGCGCGGGAGTGGGCGATTCCCTGCCCAGAGACGAAGCCTTAGCCTGCGCCGTCTGCCCCAGAACCACCAACCGAGACCTCTGCTTCGACGGCGACTGACCCTTAGACCGCGCAGAACCCCCTGCAACCGAACCAGCAACTGCCGAACCTAACGAACCAGCCGCGGGGGAGGCAGCTGCTATCTTCTGCTGCGTTGCCCCTACTGCTGACGGTTTCCCTGGCCCTGAAGCAAGCGCGGCTGTGGCTGCTGTTCTAGCGACAGAGGCGGCGGAACTCGAGAGACCGGACGGCTGGAAACCCACGGTGGTGGACGCTGCGGGTCGCACAGTCGACGATTGCGAGAGAATGCTAGGCGGTGACTTCCCATGCATCTGCTTGTCCTGCAACGATCCGAACCCTGTCCCCGCCCCAGTCGCGGCCTGTGCAGCGTTTACATGCGAGATCACTGGCGGGGAATGCGCACTGGCCTGTATCACCCTGCCACTAAGCACTGCTGCGGAAGGTTTGAACAATTGTGGGCCGTTGGATGAGGACCACGAGGACGATGCTGTGTGTGTGGATCCAGAGGTGGGTTTCGCGGCAGGGACTGATATTGCTGAGGAGACTGTACTAGAGGAAGCAGGTTTGGACGCGGATAGAACGACTTTCCCGGCTAGTGACGCCTTCGAGCCCCTGGAAAAGAACAGAGGAGAAAAGTAGCAGCGCACAAGAGCAGGAAACCAGCGTGAAAGAGAATGGAGAGCGTGAGTGTGGAAGAACGACGCCGCAGACGCTCAGGAAAAATGCCCCAATGCGTTGCACAATTTGCCAGAGAGAATTGCTGAAATCAAGAGCATCATACCACGAGGCGGCTGCAGGCAGCAAGCCTCCAGTCTTGGGTGCTGTTGACGGGCCCAGCGTGAAAACCTTGGCTGTCGTTGCTGGATGGCTCGCTGCCGGCACAGCTGAACTCTGCACACACGAACCAACACAAATGTGCAAGGAAATTACGGAAACACCTTTGGCTTCAATGAGCTAAGGAAATAGAAAAATCGAGGTGCACAGCACCGTTCACATATAGAATGGGAATTCCGACGTGAAACGGCAAAGCACGGATGTTAGGGTAACCCAACTGACCTTCTCCATATGCGTGTCGAGCGAGGGTGGGAGACCATTGGCTGCTCGGCGGTTTACGGAATGCGACGGGTCGAAGTACGGAGCCGGGTGCTTGCTGCAACGAGGCATGCAGGACGGCGCGAGAGGGACACAAGAGATGGCACACAAAGCACACGGCAATGGCACATGGCACACACACGGCGCACAGCACACCGCACACAGCACACAGCACACAGAAGATGGGAGACAGAAGGAGTTGGTACGGGAGGTGGTAGTGTGAGGCGGCAGGTGAGGGTAAGAAGGTGCACTAGAAGTTAACGACACTAGAAAGCGACAGGAAAAACACAAAGCACTAATTACCACATCTACACTTGCTGTTTCTCATGCCATCCTGAAAAGACGCACCTGACCCCATGCCGCTGCACCATCTCCTCCTTGGTGTAGCTGTCTTCTTGCGTGCCAAACTCGTGAAGATACAAACAGTCCGGGTTGTTGCATATCTGCCACACCGCACACTCGAAGAAGACTTGAGCCAAACGAGACCTGGACCCACACCATCGCATGCCGGATACGCAACAGCTTGCATTACCCCCCTGACTCCTAACTGGCAGGCGAAACATACCAGATTCTTCAGCCACGCGTTGCAATACTTAGTCGTGCCAAAGCATGCTCTGCACAGACAAACCAATCCAAAGCAGCGTACAGGACCGAACAAAATCTGTTAGGAATTCTACAACTGTCTGAGTCTTAAAAAGCCAGAACATAAAACCTACTACTCCAAGAGGCAAGTTTCAAATCGGGCCAAGCCAGCAGGACGCACCTGAGGATTCGATTCTCGAAGAGGCATCCATCAACGGCCTGGATGCACCGAAGGGCGTCCTCCTCCCTCAGATAAGTCACGTACCTGGTCCAACAAACACATGCACGCACATCACACGTTCACATGCCCACACACGTTCACATGCAGACACACGTGCATACCACACGTTCACACCATCCCACCACAGTGACGCAAGACACCTGAAAATCTCGATCACGTACACAGACTTATGTGTTGTGCGACTTTCTTTATTTGCATTCTTTGTACTTTTTTTTTTTTTTTTTTTTTTTTGCTTCCCGAAGCGAAATAACTCCCAGAGATTTTTTCAATGACGTACACGTTAGCAGAAGGGGGGTGGACGGAGCCGCCGAAAGAGGAATTGGAGCGAGAGACGGCCACTTTGACGACCTTGCCGTACTGACCGAAGTAGTCGCGCCGCTCCAGAGTCTGCGAGGAAGAGCGTGCGGGGAAAATCGGGTGATATTAGCAACAGGGGCGGCGGCTGATTGTCCGAAGGCGGTTTTAACGAGACGAGCGAGCACGATGCGACGGCGAGAATCTAGGGTATCAGGAAGCGCAGAAGCGGCAGCACGTAAGACTCGGATCGATGAAGGAGGGAACGGTCTAAACTTGAGTCTATGTTATGACCTCTTCGTCTGCGACGGAAAGCAGGATCGAGACGACGTGAACGACAATCTTCTGCACCCCGCCGCGCACGTTTTGAGTCGACACAACAGCTGAATCGAGCGAACAGGCTAAACCTGAAACTACAACTAACCTAGTCGCCTGAGACGCACAGCAGAATTCTGACTTCGTAAACGACGTTCTTTTGCACCACACGCAAGTTCTAAGTCTTCTAAGTCGACTCGACAGTCGAATCTATCCAGGCCAGCAGGCTAAATCTAAAGCGACGCCTGACTCTTCGTCTGCGACGGAGAGCGGGATCCCGACGACGTAGACAAGGCTCTTCTGCGCGTAGGTTTTGAGTCTTTGCGTCGACAAACCAGTCGAACTGATACAGGCGAGCAAGCTAGACCCAACGCTACGACTGACCTCTTCGTCCGCGACGGAGAGCGGGATACCGACGACGTAGACAAGGTTCTTCTGCACCACGCGCACGTTGCTCAGATGCCGCCGGCCTTCTGCCGTCGCGTACGCGCTCTTTGGACGGGACTTCGACTTGGATCGCTTGTCCGACTCGGTAAAACTGCAAGGCCAGACACAAACAGCACATAGAAACGATGTCGCTATGTATTTTTAGCTCCTGACACGAAACCATAGTGGGTGATGACGATGCGACGATACAAGTTGATTACGGAAAAAAAACTTTAAGCAAGAGAAACCTTGCCGGATGATGACGATTCCACGTTACTAAGGACTCCGTGACTTACTCGTCGAGATCGGGACCGTTGGATGCGATCTTGTCTTTGCTGTAGGGAGAACGGCAGGCTGGACAGCGAGGTTCTAGATGATCCTTATTCGCCATCTCCATGATGTGGTGCCAACACCACAGGCAAATCTGCGAGTCACCACGAGTTACCACGAGTTACCACAGACAAGCAACGGATGAGACAGCACAGGTCAAATCGTACGCTACAATAGTAAGGACGTCCCAAACAACTGAAATTTAAATTTAGACCAGAACTTTGACTCATATTCAGTTCAAACGTTCATAACGAAAGTTTTTTACATCTGTTTCGAAAAGGAACTAAACAAGTAGCTGGACGCGGGAATCTCATCCATAATCCTTAGCACGGGATATTACGCGGGCTTAGGAGAGCGGAAAGCACCTGATAGCCGCACTGGCACGGCTGGAACTTCCTGTCTGTGGAATCCATTTCCTCCATGCACAACGGACACGTGTAATCCGTGTCATCTGAGAAATCCATGGTGAAATCTAGAATAATAACTACTACAAAATTGGGTTCTCTTAAGAACCGAACCAACGCAGGCTTGCTCTGATTGAATAAAAGAACAGGCTCAGCCGAAGCGGGTGAAAGACAAGATTAGTTTCACAAAGCGACCATAGACGAAGATTAGGTTTCACAAAGCAACCATAACTCAAGACTGTGCACAAGGGTTTCAGCAAGGCGATTGGTAGTCAGCAAACGTGACTGGATAATAGGTGGACCATGGGGATTCAGGGAGATAATCGAGGCAGGAGAAAGATGCAGAAGGAGGAAGGTGGTTTTTGTGTCAGGTTCGGAGAAAAGCGAGGGAGGAGGTTGGGGGCGGTAGGCTCGGCGCTGGTTTATGTGAAGACACGTTTGGCTCGGTTTACCCAAATGTGGCCGAGGCTCGGTTCGGCACAATCTAGAAGTGGGGGATTCTTGGGAACATCTGGCTCTTGTATTTCGTGCACGGTCGTTGGTGTGCGAACGAGTTCCGTTTGCCGCTCGCCACATTTCGGCCTCGTTCATGCACTACTGTCAAGGCTGTCACGAAAAACACAGTTGCTGGTAACTCGGTCTAGAGTTCTTCGTCGTTCTGCCCATGGTTCCCGCCATCAGACATCCATGACCCCCAACCTTCCCATGTTGCTTCTGCCCACCACGCCCATCTCTCTCATCATCTGCCATCCGTCTGACCAATCAGGCACCAGGAATGCAATTTTGGCACAGATGGGCGGGTGGGTACACAATCTCGTGTACCCCAGAAGGGGGTGCTTTTCGCTACCGACGACAGGATCACGAAACGGGTAACGGGTTACGCAATCGTAACTTGCTCAATATTCAAGTTCGTAAAACGCAATCCACGCATTCCCATCAAATCCTGCGAGTTATTTTCCTTTCAGCTCCTGCTTCTCTCCTTGCATCGCATGATTCACATTCCATAAATGCACTCCCGTTTCCCGCTCATAATGCTATTCGCAAACAGTCGTCCAGTTTCCATTCCGAAACATGTTCCCAACGGTAAGATAGCGTCCGGGTGAAGCGGAACGCCATGCCGTTCAAGTCATCCGCATCGGCAGACGGCCCCGTTTGCTGCCTGTGCGGCGGTAACAGGCACGGCGAGCCGCCTCCTGACGTAGTCCGACGAATCACGTATCACGACAGATCTTCCCGCCCAAGAGAGTCATCGAGTGCAACGGGAGCTTCCCGAATTCCGATTTCGGGAAAAGCGCGGAGCGGTGGAGACCGCGGACGCGCGGAAGGGCGGGGCGAGCAGGAGGATGGCGGAGGAAGCGGCGGAAAGGGGGCAGCTAAGGGAGCGGGGAGGGACCACGCGGCGGAGGGGGAGATGCGCGAGATGCGGTGGCCGCCAATGCGGCCGGATCCGCACTTCGCGGACGTGCGCGCGTGGCTGGGTCCGCTGCTGGGGCCGGTGGCAGAGAGGAGCGGCGCTGCTGGCGCGTGGGTGCACCGCGAATGCGCCATCTGGAGCCCCGAGGTGCGCCGCTGCTAGTAGCGATAATGACGATGGCAATGACACCGTTGGTGATGTCATGCTGCTGCCACGCTGCCTAATCAGCTGCGTTACCTAACCTAACCCAGTCACCACAGCTCAGCAAGCAAGGCATGCAGACCTCCCAGCCGTTGCTGCGTCCTGTAGCCACGCAGAGCAGGCGTCCCTTCCGTTATTCACACAGCTCCGTTACCCTCACACCACCACCGCCCTCCCTCCCCCTCTCCCCAGGTGTTCTTGTGTGCAGCGAACCAGCTGAAGAACACGCCTGCTGCTGTGTAGCTTTTGAGACCCCACCACACCCACACCACCACCATGCCTGCTGCCGCTCTCTCTACCCCTCTTTCCCCTGGTGTTCTTGTGCTGAAAAACGTACCTGCAGCCGCCGTGTGGCGGGAGATGCTGCTCAAGTGCAGCCGGTGCACTTGAGGCACCTGAAAAAAACTGAAATAATTCACCACCCTCTGTCCCCGGGTGTTCTTCTGTGCGGCAAACCAGCTGAAGAACGTGCCGGCTGCGGTGCGGAGGGAGGGAACTACTCGAGTGCAGCCGGTGCTGCTTGAGGCTCCTTGAAAGTCAAAATCCATTACCTCCCTCACCCCCTCTTCCCCTCTCCCCTCTCCCCCTCTCCCCTCTCCCCCTCTCCGCAGGTGTTTTTCTGTGCGGCGAATCAGCTGAAGAATGTGCCTGCTGCGGTGCGGCGGGGACGGCTGCTCAAGTGCAGCCGGTGCGGCCGCAGCGGGGCCAACATCGGGTGCCGAGAGGAGCGGTGCCCACACACGTACCACCTGGTGAGATGGAAGGAGGGTGGGGAGATGGGAAATAGCATCGGAGGGGGAGGCTACTCAAGTGCAGCCGGTGTGGTCGCAGCGGGGCCAACATTGGGTGCCGGGAGGAGCGGTGCCCGCACACCTACCACCTACCGCCTTGGTCCACACGCGCGCCTCGGTCCACGCGCGCGCCTCGGTCCACGCGCGCGCCTCGGTCCACGCGCGCGCCTCGGTCCACGCGCACGCCTTGGTCCACGCGCGCGCCTCGGTCCACGCGCGCGCCTCGGTCCACGCGCGCGCCGGTTCGCGGGCGCGCCTGGGTCCGCGCGCGCGCTGCGCGCCTTGCTCCGCGTACCCCCTGGTGAGTCACACGTACCCCCTGGTGAGTCACACGTACCACCTGATGAGTCACACGTACCACCTGATGAGTCACACGTACCACCTGGTGAGTTACACGTACCACCTAGTGAGATGAAACTTCGTGAGTTGTGACGGGTGGCGAGATGAAACTGACAGGAGGTCGTATGTTCTGTGCACCACCCGGTGAGATGAAACGGTGTTCGTTTCAACTGCTGGTCAGTGGGAAACGGCGAGGCGAGGGAGGAGAGGTGTTCGCACTTCTACCACCTGGTGAGATGTAACGACGGATGTTGTACAGGGCAGTCACCAAGGTGAAACGGGAATTACGGGGTGGGAAATGGCATCTCTAGCCACTTGGCTTTGCACCATTTCTTTTTTCTAAAAGTCCTCGTTGTCTGTTCCTTCTCCCTCCCTCTTCCGTTACCCTCCCCTCTCCTCTTCGCCCCAGCCCTGTCCACTAAGGCTACCTCCTCCCTCATATCCTGCTCCTCCCCTCGCCTCCTTCCTCCCTGCACATCCCCCTCTGCCCTGTTTTTCGCCCCCTCCCTCTTCCCTCGCCCCCCAGCCCTGTGCGCGCTACGACGACTGTTTTTTCGACCACACCGATTTCCTCATCTCCTGCCCGCTCCACACTCGCTCCCTCATGCTCCGCCGCCACGGCTCCCACCTGCCCGAGTTCAACGCCTTTTTCGGGCAACCCGCGGGCAGGCTGTCCGGGCAGATGGTGGAACTTTTGTCAGCTGCCCGCGCAGCTGCCCGGAAGGACGAGGAGGCAGAGGCACAGTGGGAGGAGGGGATGGGGAGTGAGGAAGATGATGAGGATGAGGAGTTTCAGGCAAAGGAGAGGAGGAGGAGAGTGAGGGACCTGGCTAGGGTTGAGCCGGTTCGGCTTGGGGGAGGGGTGACGTGGCGTGCGGCTGCCAGCTGTGCTGCCATGTCACTGGCCACGTCAGCCGGTGGTGCTCGTTATCCAGTGACTGGGCTTGAGAGGCTGGCTGGGGTTGAACCAGGGGGAGAGGGGAGGGGGGGCGGAGGGGGAGGGGGAAGGGGGGCCGGAGGGGGAGGGCTGAGAGGGGACGGAGGGGGAGCAGGGAGAGAAGCAGAAGGGGGAGAGAGGGAAGGAATTCGCGCCAAAAATCCAATTCAAACTGACAGTGTCTTGGAAAACGTTGACTGTGACAAAGCTGAGTGTGACAATGTCGAGTGTGAGACTGGGAGTAAGCCACTGGGGGAACAGTCACAGAGAGCAGCGCACAGCATGTTAAATCCAGTGGCAATGCCTGGCAGTGGCGGTGATGGTGGTGGCGCTGACGTGGCAGCGTCTGGTTGGGTGATGGTGCGGTTTGGGGGGGCGGAAGCAAGGGGGGTGGGGGGAGGGGAGGGGGAAGCGGGGGATGAATTGGCGGCTGTGATTGGCCCTGAGACTCCGCTGGAGGTGCTGTTGGGGGCAAGGGGGGTTGGGGAAGTTGGTCCAGGGGAGGGGGGAGTGAGGGAGGGTGGAATGAGGGAGGTGGGAGTGAGAGAGGAAGGACTGGAGGAGGGGGACGAGTTGCTGGGTGGAGGTGAAGAAAGGGCGGAGGAGGGGAGGAAAAGAGGAAGAGAGAAAAGGGATGGAGGACGAGAAGAAAGGGAGGGAGCAACGCAGCAAATACAGGGCTTGAGTCCTGAAGTTCCCCTAAGGGGTGGGGCTGTTGAGGCAGCACTGGGTGGCGTGAGCAGCGAGTGGGTGAATGCAGGGGTGTGTGAGGGAGTGAGTGAGGGAGCGAATGAAGGAGTGAGGAAGGGAGAGAGGAAGAAGGTGGGTGGGGCAACAGAACGGGAAATTGGGGGTGATGGGGAGGTGGCAGCAAAGCGGGCGAGGAATACACCAGATTCAGAGGTGCTGGTTGGAGGGGCAAGGGACACTCCAGGAGCAGCAATAGGAGCTGCTTCTGAGATTCGCCAAAAGCAGGCACGGGTGACACCAGAGCCTGAGGTGCTGGTTGGAAGGAAAAGGGACACTCCAGAAGCAGCAATAGGAGCTGCTTTTGAGATTTGTCAGGAGCAGGCACGGGTTACAGCAGAGCCTGAGGTGCTGGTTGGAAGGAAAAGGGACGCCCCAGAAGCAGTGGAAGCTGGGGGGGATGGTTTTGGTGTGAGAGCAACAGCAGGAGCAGCGACAAGAGCGGAAGGAGCAGCATTAGCTGCAGAAGGAGCAGAAGGGACAGCAGGAACAGCAGCAGGGACAGGGACAGGGGAGCGGGTGAGGGATGCATCAGAGGGAGAAGTCGAGGCAGCAGGATCACCTGATATTCCGGACTTAGTAAAAGCAACAGAAGCAACCAAAGCAGCACACTCAACACCAGCAGAAGCAGCACAAGCAGAAGCAGCAGGAGCAGCAGCACCAGCAGAAACAGCACGAGCAGAAGCGACAGCAACAGCTGCAACACCAGCAGAAGCAGCACCGAAAGCCGCTCCACCCGCCGCCCCATCCACCCACCCCCCCAGCACCCCCCCTCCGCTCCCCCACGCCTCCCCCTTCCCCCCATGGTCCGCCATAGGCGGCCTACGCCCAGTCATCCGCTCTCTCACAGAGCTCGTCCTCCTCCCCCTGCGCTACCCCTCCCTCTTCCCATCCCTCGGCATCACACCCCCCCGCGGGGTGCTCTTGCACGGGCTGCCCGGGACAGGGAAGACCCTGGTGGTGCGGGCGTTGGCAGGGGCGTGTGTGAGGGGGGAGCGAGAGGTGGCGTTTTTCGCGCGGCATGGTGCGGATTGCCTCGGGAAATACGTGGGGGATGCGGAGAAGCATCTACGGCTGTTGTTTGAAGTGGCGAAGCAACATCAGCCGTCGATTATCTTCTTTGATGAGCTCGATGGGCTTGCGCCGGCTAGGGGGCCGAATCAGGACCCCACTCATAGCTCTGTGGTGGCAACGCTTTTGGCGCTTCTAGATGGGTTTGATTCAAGGGGTGCGGTTACCGTTATTGCGGCCACCAATAGGATTGATGCCATTGATCCTGCCCTGCGTCGACCGCGAGATTTTCTTTCCGCTGCCCGGGTTTGCGGGCCGGAAGGCGGTTTTGAGGGCGATAACGGGGGGGTGGGCGGCGGGGGAGGCACCTTCCGGGAAGGTTCTGGAGGAGCTAGCGAAGAGGAGTGGGGGTTTTGCAGGGGCAGATCTTCGGGCAGTTTGCAATGACGCGCTTATGGCTGCCCTGAGGAAAAAGTTTCCCATGGACAAGGCTTTGGCTCTTGATGTGCTGCCCGGGAGTGACACTTCCGGTTTTGGGCAGCCCCAGCTGCCCGGAGCAGCAGCATCTTCTTGTCCACGTGGCACAGGCTCATTGGTTCCAGCGAAGATGTCTCGTCTGCCGATCCCTGAGATCCACGTGGAGGCCTGTGATTGGCTGGAAGCACTGCAGCGGGCACAAGTGCCCTGTGCCCTCCGAACCGCAGCAGCCAGCTTCGGCCAGTTAGGTTCGGCTGCCGTGCCTGGGTATCTGTTACCGATCCTGGCTCCTGCCTTGGTTCGGTTGGTTCGTGCATTAGGGAGAGGAGACGAGAGGGCAGGGGATGAGGAGGAGTGGGCGGTGGGAGATGCTTGGATGGGTGGAGAGAGGAAAAGGCAGAGGCACGCAGGGCAAGGAGGATGAGGATATGGAGGACGGGGGAGAGGGAGTCGGAGAGGGGAAGGTGGAGGGGGAGGTTAGGAAAGGGGAGGAGAGAGAGGAAGTGAGGGAGATTGATGAAGGGGAGGATGGAGAGGAAGGGGAGGAAAGGGAGGAAGAGGAGGATGAGGAGGAAGAGGGCAGTGGTTTTCCATTTGGGCGGTGGCAGTGGGAGCAGCAAGAAGGGGGGACAAAGCAGGGGCAGGGACAGGGGCAGGAACAGCTGAGACAGGGGCAGGGGCAGGGGCAGGGGCAGGGGCAGAGGGTGGTGATATGTGGGAGGGGCGAGCAGGGGCAGAGGGTGGTGATATGTGGGAGGGGCGAGCAGGGGCAGAGGGTGGTGATATGTGGGAGGGGCGAGCAGGGGCAGAGGGTGGTGATATGTGGGAGGGGCGAGCAGGGGCAGAGGGTGGTGATATGTGGGAGGGGCGAGCAGGGGCAGTCGCATGTGGGTGCAATAGCAGCCAAGCTGCTCAGCCCCGGAGGTACACAGTCATTTGCAGAGGCGTGCAGAGCGGTGCAGCTGGATAGGAAGGGGTTCCTGAGTGGAGAGCGGTGCAGAGGGGTTAGGAAGGAGAGGGTGGGGTGTGGGAGGAGGGGAGGAGGAGAGGGGGCGGTGGTGGTGGTGGATGTGCCGGCTATGGTGCTGCTGGGGCATGGAGACATGGCTGCCGGCATGCGCGCACTCATAGGTGCGTTAGAGGGCATTAGGATGGCTGCATGCACGCGCTACTCATAGGTTAGTCACTGGTAAGTCGCCCCAATTGGGGAGGGGGCGGTGGTGGTGGTGGATGTACCGGCTATGGTGCTGCTGGGTCATGGAGACATGGCTGCCGGCATGCGCGCACTGCGTTGGAGGGCTTGAGGTGGGTTCGGTCCTCTGTCCATTCCTCTGTCCATCCCTCTTTCCATCCCTGTTTCCATCCCTCTTTCCATCCCTCGTTCCATCCCTCTTTCCATCCCTCGTTCCATCCCTCTTTCCATCCCTCGTTCCATCCCTCTTTCCATCCCTCGTTCCATCCCTCTTTCCATCCCTCGTTCCATCCCTCTTTCCATCCCTCGTTCCATCCCTCTTTCCATCCCTCGTTCCATCCCTCTTTCCATCCCTCGTTCCATCCCTCTTTCCATCCCTCGTTCCATCCCTCTTTCCATCCCTCTTTCCATCTCTCTCTCCATCCCTCTGTGCCTCCCGTGTCCCTCAATCCTTCCTAACCAAAGCGTCTTCTGCGTCTCCATGTACTATGCATCGCGTCCTTCCCGACTTTCTCTATTTAAACTGCTTCAAACAAAATGAGAGATTCAGATTTGGTTCTCATTCATCACCACCACCACCGACTCATCACAAAGGAGTCAGCTCAAGGCTCACTGCTTAAAATGAGAGATTCAGATTATGTTCTCTCAGACGTTTGTATTCCTCCCTCTCTTCGTTTGCAGAGCAAGCAAGATCAATGGCGCCGTGTGTGCTGCTGCTGCCACGTGTCAACACGTGGGTGGTGGAGGGGTGGAAGGATGGGAGAGGCATGGGACTGGATGAGGAGGGGGAGGATGAGGAGGAGGAGGGAGGTGTGGAGGGGGAGAGGTTGGAGGAAGAGGAAGGAGGAGGGGAGGAGAGTGAGGAAGGGGAGAGCGAGGGGAGCCGGGAAGAAAATGGGATAGGGGACGAGGAGGAAAGAGGATGGGAGGATGAGGAAGGAGGGGCAGAGGAAGAGGGGGAGGGAAGGGAAGGCAGGGTATCAGGCGAGTGGGCATCATTCGAGCAGCTGATGGCAGTGGTGGAGTGTCAGTTGTCATCCTCTGCTGCTCTGCTACTGCACTCCTTTCGTGCCACTGCTGCCAGCATTCACGTTGTGGTGAGATGAATGTGTGCTTGGGTCGAGTTCTAGCACAGCGGGTGGGGGTGTCAGGGGAGTGGGCGTCATTCGAGCAGCTGATGGCAGTGGTGGAGTCTCAGCTGTCGTCCTCTGCTGCTCTGCTGATGCACTCGCCTCGTGCCAACACGGCCAGCATTCACGTGGTGGTGAGTCCAGCCGTGACAATACCATGGCATCAAGGGGGGTGAGAGGTGGGGTATCAGGAAATTGGGCGTCGTTCGAGCAGCTAATGGCCATGGTGGAGTCTCAGTTGTCATCCTCTGCTGCTCTGCTGCACTCTTCCCGTGCCACCGTGGCCTGCATTCATGTGGTGGTGCGTCCATCCATGCTTACACCATGGCATGCCATGGTATATCAATTGCAATGCAGAAGGACTGTAGAAGCACCTAAAATAAATAAGACTTGGATCGTCCTCGATTCCTGCATACATCTGCACCCCCCTTCACGTGCTCAAACCAGGCAATTTTATTGCCCCCTCTTCGCACTCTTACATCCGAATCAAAAGATACGTTTTCACTTTCCGTTCTCTCTTCCTTCCATCCTCTTTTGCCCCACCCAGGCAACCTCAGAGGTGCCTCTTTCTGCCCTCCCTTTACCGGTGCAACGATTCTTCCTGCCCCCCTCCTCCTCTCCCCTCTCCCCCTCACCCTCCTCCTCCTCTGTCCTCTCCTCTCCTCCCTTCTCCAGTCCCTCGCCTCATCACTCCCCACGTCCCTCCCCTCCTCCCTCAACCAAACCATCTCCTCTAACCGGCCTTGGGGCAAAGGCGAGTGGACAGAGCTTGGTGAATGTGAGTGGGAGTGGCTGCACAGTGCTGACCCTGCCCTCTCTCCCCTCCTGCTGCTTGCAACGGTCTCTTATGGTGGGTGGTGGTGGGGGCAGTGGCAGGGGAGGAGGAGGAGGAGGAGGAGGAGGAGGAGGAGGAGGAGGAGGAGGAGGAGGAGGAGGAGGAGGAGGAGGAGGAGGAGGAGGAGGAGGGAGGAGGAGGAGGAGGAGGAGGAGGAGGAGGAGGAGGAGGAGGAGGAGGAGGAGGAGGAGGAGGAGGAGGAGGAGGAGGAGGAGGAGGAGGGGCAGGAGTGGAACGAGAAGCAGGAGATGGGGGGAATGTTGGGGGAGAGAGGGATGAAGGGGTGGGGGCAAGTGGTGTGTGTGGGAAGGCATGTTGTGGGGGTGACAAGAAGGAAGAGGAGGGGGAGGAGGAGGGAGGAGGAGGCGGAGGAGGAGGAGGAGGGAGGAGGAGGGAGGAAGGGGATTTTAAGGCATGCATTGATGGGGATGGGAGGGCTCAGCAGGAAAATCAGATTGCAGCAGGCGGGACAGGTGGCGCGCTCTCATTGGCCGGGAGGTGGAGGGCGGCAGTGGGCATGGCTGCTCGGCAGCTGGCGTGGGAAGTGTGGGAAGCGGTGGAACGTGGTGCTGAGGAAGAGGGGTGGGCCGGTGGGAGGGGTTTGGGGAGTAAGGGGAAGAGGACGGAGGGGAATGGGGAAGGAGGACGGTGGGAAGAGGAGGGAAGGAGAGCTGGGAAGAGAAGGAGAGTGGAAGGAAGGGGTAGAGATGGGGTGGGTGATGATGGGAATGGGATGAGAGGGAGGGAGGCAGAGGGGCAAATTAACATTCCTGAGGAGGAGCAGCGGGAGCAGCAGGGGAAGCAGCAAGCTCAACCACAGCAGCAGCAGGGGGAGGGCTGTGAGCAGCAGCAGCACGCACAGGCTGTGTGGCGAACAGAGGCAGAGCGGCGGCTGCTGGGAGGGCTGGCCTGGTGCGGGCTGTACCTGCTGAACCACCCCTCCCTCTCCCCCCTCCGCACATTCTCCTCCTCCCTCCCCCGCACCCCCCGATTCGTGATTCAAGGGGAGGGGGGACGGGCGGGGAGCAGAAAGGAGGAAGTTAGGAGAGGGAAAGAGGAGGGGAGAAGGCAGAGGAAAGAAGTGGGGAGGGGGGAGGGAGGTGTGGGGAGGAGGGAGGGGAGGAGGGAAGGGAGGAGGGAGGGGAGGAGGGAGGGGAGGATGGCTAATTGGGCCAAGGCAGAACGGCCTACTAGGATGAGTAGCAGACTGAGAGAGAGGGAGAGGGAGAGGAGGAGATTGGAGAGGGAGCAGAGGAGAGAGGAGAGGGAGAGGAGGTCGGGGGAGTGGGACCGGAGGAGGGGGAGGGTGAAGAGGCGAAGGGAGAGCGAGGGAGGGAGCGGTGCGAGAGGGAGGGAGAGTGGTTGGATACACGTTCCTGGGGGTGACACGTTCTTGTATCCCACTCGATGGATGCAAGAGAGGGAGACGGACGGTGGGTTATTCAGTCCCAGAAGCGGCAGTCTCAGAAGTGGTGGTTTTCCTGTGGCAGGCAGTATTGGTGGTCATCGTCACTCGTTAGGCGGTCAAAGAAAAGGAGAGGGAGGAAGAAAGAGAGGAGGCGAGGGAGGAGGAAGACGAGGAGGGGAAGGAGGAAGACAAAGAGGAGGGGAATTGGGAAGAGGAGGAGAGGCTCGGGGATTAGCAGCGGTAGCAATGAGGCTGGTGCATGGGGTGGTGCGTAGTCCAGGGGAGTTGCACCAGCAGATACAGAGGGTGTGCGGCCTGGCTCTAGAGGCTGTGAGGCGTGATGTTGCCAGAGTGGCACATTGGGGCGTTGGCTTTGAGTCGACTCAAAACACACCTGGATCCGTCGGGCACCAACACTATCACACCCCCGGGCACTATCAGACCCCCGGGCACCATCAGCGGTGGAGTGTGGAGCATGTGTGGGCGTTGCAGCGGGCGTGTCGCATGGAGCAGCAAGTGAGAGCGCTACAAGACACAGTGGCAGCATGGGTGCACCTCATGGCTCCCCTGCTCGCTGCTGCTGCTGCCTCCACTGCCCACCTGCCTCCTCCTCCTCCTCCTCCTCCTCCTCCTCCCCTTCCCTTCTTCCCGCGCGCTGGTGAGCCTCGTGTGTCGCACCGGCCCCCTGTCGCGTCAGAGAGATCGCACGCCCGGCGATTCTCGTGCTCGTACCAGCACAGGCAGGAGTGGAAGCATAAGCAGCACACGTACTCTCCTGTGCCCGTTGCTGCTGCTGGCGCAGCTGCTGCTGTGGCAGCCGATCGACCCTCTGCTTTCCCCTCACCCTTCCTCGCCTTCCCATCCCCCTCTGCACCTAGCCTCCTTCCCAACGCCTCACCCCCTTCCGCCATTCCTCCCTCTTCAGCTCTCTCCAGCCCAGCTCTCCTTCTCCCTCCTGTGTCCACACCTGGCAACTACCCCCTCGTTCTCGCTCTCCCTGCGCCGTTTCCTCTGCCCTTCCCTCCCTCCTCAGAATCCCTCTCTCCCCCGCCCGTCTCCACGCCCCAACCTTTCTCCACACCTCCACCCTTCTATGAACCAGCACCCATCTCCACACCCCACAGGGAGGTGAATCACTCTGAACCTACTGTAACCGCACCATTCTCCTTCAATCCCCCTGTGCAAGCTGCTCCCACTGCTGCTGCTGTCACTGCTGCTCCTGCTGCCGCCGCCGCCGCTCCTTCTCCTGATTCTGTTGGTGCTTCTGCTCCTGCACTTCGTTCTGCTGCTCCTGTGGCTCCTCCTGCGGCTGTTCCTGCTACCACTTCTCCTCCTCCTCCTCCTCCTCCTCCTGCTGCTGCGGCTGTTCCAGCATGTGGGCTGTCTGCTGCGGCACCCTCTCTGGTGACGGGCCTTGCAGTCCTTCCAGTGATAGGTGCCCCCTCTGCTGCTCGTTCTGCTGCTGCTGCTGCTGCTCCTCCTGCTGCTGCTCTAGCAGGTGGGCTATCTGCTGCAGCGCCTCTGATCACGGGCCTAGATGTGCTGAGACGACCTGGCCCCGGGTGAGGAGGGGGAGTATGGGGTGGGAAGGAGAACGATGGGCTTGGTGGGAGTGGGGGAGAAGGGAGAGAAAGGAAGGAAAAGGGAGAAGGGAGAGAAGTGAGAGAAATGGGTGAAAGGAGAGATGGGAATGAAGAGGGGGCGAGAGATGGGAGAGATGAGAGAGAAGGGAGAGAATGGGGAGAAGGGAGAGAAGGGATCAAAGGGAGAGACGGGAGAGAAGAAGGAGGAGTTGGGATTGGTGGTGCTGGGTCGAGGCGAGGAGGAGGGGCAGGGGAATTAAGTGGAGAGGGAGGAGGAGAGAGTGGAGAGAGAGGAGGAGAGAGTGGAGAGAGAGGAGGAGAGAGTGGAGAGAGAGGAGGAGAGAGTGGAGAGAGAGGAGGAGAGAGTGGTAGAGCAGTGGCTGTTTATCCAGAGGGAGGAGGAGAGGTGGTACTTGAGTCCACCCACCAGTCGGCAGCAGTGGCGTTTGATTCAAGACAGCAGTCAGCAATGAATGCAGCAGCAGGTGCTGCCGCAACTCACTGCACCGAGGAGTTAAGTTCTGAGGCGCTTCAGAAGGAGGAGGGGGGAGGTGGTGTTGCAGGCAGAGGTGCTGAAAGGGGAGATGACGCAGCGAGAGGGAGCAGGGAGAGTGAGGATGAAGACGGGGATGGGGATGAGGATAGGAATGGGGACCGGACAGGCACAGGCAATGAAGGGCGATGTGGGCGTGCAGATGCAGCGGATGACAGCCATGCGGAGAGAGAAGAGAGGGAGCAGGAGGCGAAGGAGGAGGATAAAGAGGGGGATGAGAAGACACGTGAAGCAGGCAAGCGGCAGGCGAAGGAAAACGAGGAGGGGGATGAGGATGCGGAGGGCATGAGGGAGCAGGAGGGGGGGGTGGCTGGAAGAGCAGAGCAAGAGACAAGGGGCGAAGGGGATGGCCGGACGGTGGGTAAAGGCAGTGGTGGGGACGACAGTGAGGGTGTCCCTCCTCATCGCAGTGGGGATCGCATGGGTGCTGACACTCACACACCTCTCAACCGCAAGGCACCCTCCAGCACCGCTCCGTCCCGCTGCCCTGTCCGCCCCCCACCGGCGTGCTTCCACTTGCTCGAAGCAGCTCTCGAGCTCTGCCTCTCCCGCCTGCTGCTGCTACACCCCACTCTCCCCACACATAGCCCCCTGCTGCAGCACCAGCAGCAGCGCCACCATCAGGAGCAGCAGCAGCAGCAGCAGCAGCAGCACCCTTTGTACAGTCACACACTCACAGACACTGATTCTCACACATGCAGTCATCATCAAGCCCTCCTGTCCATGTCATGCGGCAGCGCAACTGTGCCAATCACGTGCGGCCAGCTGGAGCGAGCAGTGCGCCAGCTGGCGAGCATGGCCACAGCTGCTGTGAGTCGGGTGCGATGCAGTCATACCTCGTTTGCTGCCGCTGACGCTGCTGCTGATGCTGCTGCTCGTGGTGGTGCTGCTGTGTCCGCTGCTGTTGCTGCTGCTAATGGCGGTGATGGTGGTGGTGCTGGTGGTGGTGCTGGTGGTGCTGCGTCTGGTCCTGCTACAGTTCCATGTGTGCATGGATGTGATGAGGGTGGGCTGTGCTTGAAGCACGTAGCACATGCCATACAGCAGCGCATGGTGTTTCTAATGCCAGCATTACACAATGCGGCAGAAACTGAGGATGCTATTGAAGCTGATGGTAGTGATGGCTCATGACAATGCTCGATAGGTGAAAAGGATGTATACTGAAGTAAAATTTTACTTAGCTAGTGATAGTCCAGCCAATATTCTAGGCCTGGTCCTTAGTCTGTGTACATGCTGTTCTTAACTCAATGCCATTTTACACCAACCGTGAAAAAATGGAAACTGCAACGGGTTTATTACTGTGTGGATTCCAATATTGGCTGTCAAAAACCTGAAGAAGAATGTGGTAAATAATTATTATACTCCTCTAAGCATCGTCCTTTACCATATTACTAAAATCTTAACGATACACAACCGATTACATGAATGAGAACGAATCACGCTTGCACGGGAGTTTCAGGTTTACAGTTCTGGTGGTGTCTGCGCTTCGACAAATTCCCGCCTTCAACACTGGAGTTCATTGGCCACGTCATCAGCCTTGCCGGTTCCCACTTGCCAGTGGGCATCTGACGTCCAGCTGGGCCTTCCTCAGTTAGCCGGCGTCAGTGACTCTGTTTGCCCAGTCATGGCAGCGGCTCGACGAGAATGTCTGGGAAAATCTGTTTGATGCGACGCCGCACGAGCTTTCGCGAAGCTGAGTTCGGGTGTGGCACAGACCGTGGATGGGATGTCGGATTTCGCCTATATGTGTTTGCTGGTTACGATTTTCTCGAAGCTCGCAAGCCCAAACTCACTGAACATTTGTTGCCTCCGCGGGGGGAGCCATCACGAACTGCTGCACTTTCCCTTTCAGATGGTTTGGTTTCAGGTGTTGGTTACGGTCCAAAGAGGTGCAACAAAACAACTGTTGTGTACCGTGTAGGAACGCATTGTAACGCATTGGACCAGCGGACATGCATGCAATAATTACAACTAAATCCACTTCCACACGCCATTGTTTCTTCTTCCTCATCAATCCCGATTCCCAATGACGGTTTACCTTGACAACCCAGACTACACATCAGGACAAGGCAGGAGCTTTACCTCTAACTAGCAAATCGGAGAAACGCTTCGGAGGTTCCTCTTTCTTTTATAGTGTAGTTTATAAGCTTAGAAACTCTCCGTAAGCTGCGTATAACACCAGCGCGTCGCTCTTTACGTCCGTGTCGAGCTGGGATAACCGACCTGAAAAGGGCAGTCGCGCGGTTCTGCAATCGGAAATAGTCGCGGGTAGACAACCACTCTCGCGCCGTAACTACAGCAACATGGCGTGCCGCGCAGCCAGTTTAGACCGTTGTTCCATGCTCGCATTTCTATTTCTCTTCCTCCTCCTCAACCCATTAAATGCGCAACTCGAATCTCAAGATCCGTTCACGTCGCTACCCGACGACACAGGCGAGCTGGTCCAAGGCAGCGCGCCGTCCATGTCCGCCTCGGATTTCCTCGCCGCCGCCAATCAGATCACGTCGGATAAAATCCAGACCGTCCGCATGCGAATCTACCGGCAGTTCGTGCAGAATCTCGCCATGAAAGGCGCGAGCACGGCCGCGCTGGGCCAAATCGTCGACCTGCCGCAGCCGCCATTCACCAACATGACTCTCCAACTCGTCAAACTCAAGCTCTCTTCGCTCGTCGCGAATGGGTTTCTATTCCACGAGTTTTTCATTCCGCCGGGAATCCAGGTCTCGACGAATCCGGAACTCGTCGTTCTGTTGTATAACCAGATTCCAGTTATCTTCGCGCCGTACAGACCGCCGACTGGTTACTCCTATTCGCCGTATTTCGCCGGGGTTGACATCCTTCCGTACGTTAACGACACGACGAAGGCCCCGGGCCCGGTGCTTGTGCGAACGAGCCCGTCGTTACCAATAACTGTTACATTTCCTTTCGATGACTCTCAGCCTGGTTACGTTCAGTGCACTATGTTCGGCCTGCTTGGCGCGCTTATCCCTCTCAACCAATCACAGGACAGCACACCCACGCGAGTCATCTGCGAGAGCGTCACCCTTGGGGAATTTACCCTCACAATCGGCTCCAACCCATTCCCTTCTCCCCCGCCCCCCGCGCCGTCCCCTCCGCCCCCCCCGTCCCCGCCAACTCCGCCAACCCCCACTCCGCCTTCTCCGCCCGTAACCACCCCCGCCGACAAGGGCGGGTCAAGCGGGCTGACAATCGGGCTAGCGATCGGGCTCGCGATACCGATTATTCTCCTGCTCGTGCTGGGCGCGTGGCTGATCTGGCAGCTGCTGCAGCGCGGGCGCTACGAGAAGATGGAGCTGGCGGCGGAGCGCGCCGCGAACCTCGAGACTGCGCTCATCGCGGGGCAGCGCGCGCCGTCCGCGCCCGCCGTGCGCACCAGGGGGGCGCTGGAGGACGAGGCGTGAGGTGCGGTGGTGGTATGGAGGACGAGGCGTGAGGGTGAGGGAGGGTATAGCTTTTGAGGCGCCTCAAAAATCGCCGTGCGCACCAGGGGGGCGCTGGAGGACGAGGCGTGAGCGTGGGGGAAGGGCGCGGAGGAGGGGATGCGGGAATGAGGTTACTTTTGAGTCGACTATAACGTCACCTCGTGCGCACCAGAGGGGCGCTGGAGGACGAGGCGTGAGCGTGGGGGAAGGGCGCGGGGAGGGAAAGTGGGAATGCGCTGACGTGGAGGAGGGAGGGGGAGGAAGGGGAGGGAGGGGAAGTGGGAATGCGCCGACGTGGCAAAGGGAGGGGGGAATGGGGGAAGGGGTGAAGGGAATGAGGGGGAAATGGTCATAGTGTAGAAGGCGCGCGGCCACCCTTTCCTCCTCCATCCCCTTTTGCTCCCTGGCTCCCTTGCTTTTTACCAACCCCTTCACTTTCGACCTTCACCTTACGCGCCTTCGGTTTGCCCGATGCTTCGCCGCGCGCAGCGTCAACTGCCCCGCGTTTTCGGGAAGGGCGAGTCCGGCCCCCCTCCTTCCCTGTAACACTCACCCGTCTGCCACGCCCGCCCCGTCCCTTCACTGGCGCCACATCCTCCTCCTCCTCCTTCTCCTCCTCCTCCTCCTCCTCCTCCTCCTCCTCCTCCTCCTCCTCCTCCTCCTCCTCCTCCTCCTCCGCTGCCTCCTCCTCCTCCTCCTCCTCCACATCCTCCTCCTCGTCGTCACCCTGCTCCTCCTCCTCCTCCTCCTCCTCCTCCTCCTCCTCCTCCTCCTCCTCCTCCTCCTCCTCCTCCTCCTCCTCCTCCTCCTCTTCGTCCTCCCCGCCATCATTCTCATCTTTTTCATCCTCCCCAACATCCGGGATGGCCTAGCGGTGCATTGTGGCAGCTATCTGTGCCATATGCACTGGCGATATGGAGCAGAGGTGTTGCCGGGTATGGGCATGATTCAGAGGGACGGAAAGGGAAGGAAAACACACGGGGGGGCGGAGGTGATGGGGAATTTAAAGTTGGGATTTGGGATGTTTTTTAATGGTGGTGGTCCGGGGAAGGGGATGGGGCTGGTTGGGCATGTGATTGTGGGGTGACGACTGGGTGTGTAATCGTGGTTGTCACGTTCTGGTGTTAGTGTTTGCATTAGGATGGGGAAGGGTGCGGGGGGGGAGGGGAATGAGAGGATGCTGCGGGGTGCAGGCAGCGGGACAGGTAGCTGATGGCACGACCACAATGTCCTGGCAGTACAGGCAGTAAGCTTCCAATGTTAGGGCCAGAACCTGATATTTAACCCCAGTATTTACCTGGAGGTTGTTGTGCCTTATACATAAGTTTCAGGGTACGGTATGTCATAGAGTTTGTAGTCCAGCCCATGCACAGCACGGCCAAGGTTACTGGGGTCCACATTCCAGAAAGAACCATCACCATCGCCGTCTTACCTAGAGGCTGGATGCAGTGGCTCTGCCTGTGACTATGAAGCGTGTACAGTAAGGTGCTCACACAATAGACAGCAGCGGAGCAGATTGAGAAAGAATTGCTGTACTACAGAGCAGAGGCCCTAAGGTGATATTTCCAGCTGGTTGGTGTGATGATCTGGATAGCACCAGCATACACAGTACGTGCTTCCTCTTTCAAGCTGTACAAAGTTTGCTTGATTTTATTCATCATCTGCTGACAAGCTCAGACTAATGCAAACCACCATGAAGTACTGATTGTACGCATCAGCAGCACCAGCAGCACATCATCACTCGCTTGCTTCAAGTACATTTTGAGGATATAGAGTAGAAACAAGTATTTTATACAACCAGTCTTATAGGACTAACAGCAGAGTGCCATGAGGCACTGCAGGAATGGCATGGCAGCTGAGGCAGGCATGAATGCCACGTGCCAAACCCTCCACTCCCCACCCCCTTCCCTCCTCTTCCCTCCCACACAGTCCTCCTTACCTTCCATCGTGCTCCTCATCCCTCCAGCTGCAGCCAGCATGCAAATGGCACGATGCCATGCCACATGATGCCATGTCCACACGATGCCATGCCACATGATGCCATGCCCACATGATGCCATGCCCACATGATGCCATGCCCACACCATGCCATGCCCACACCATGCCATGCCACACCATGCCATGCCATCCTATGCCATGCCACACCATTTCACGTCACACGATGACATGCAACACCATCGGATACAACAACATGCCATGCCACGCCATGGCATGTCACACCATGACATGCCACACTACGTCACACTGTATCATACCACATTGTATCAAACCACATTGTAACAAACCACATTGTAGCAAACCACGCTGCATCACACTATACTGTACCATACAACACAGCATCATACCACACTGTATCATACCACACTGTACTATACCACACTATATCTTGCCACATTGTATCATACCATACACTCTTTACCACACTGTACCATACCACATAGTATCATACCACACTGTATCATACCACACTATACTTACCACACTGTGTCACACCACACACTCTTTACCACACTGTATCATACCGCACAATATCATACAATAATGTATCATACCATACTGTATCATACCATACTGTATCATACCATACTGTATCATACCACACTATATCTTGCCACACTGTATCATACCACACTGTATCATACCATACTCTATCATACCACACTGTATCACACCACACACTCTTTAACCACACTGTACCATACCACACTGTAACATACCATACTGTATCATACCACACTGAATCATACCCACTGTACCATACCACACTGTATCAACCCCCCACCACCACTCACCACTTTTACCTGCCAGCAGTGGGAGCAGCACACACCCCACTCCCTTTCGGAAACAGCACCCTCAAGGGCTGTGACTTGTAAGGAGAGGTGTGACAGTGAAAAATCGCTTCCAGCCCAAGACTCAAATCCCACCCCTGACGTAGCTAGAGCTGACGCGAACCAGAGCCGCCGGCCGGTCGACTCTGACAGTGTCCATTAAGCTTTGAACGCCAGATCGGTTACTTGAGCACCGAGTGCCGTGCCGCGCAGATTCCACCCACCACACCCCAACCCACAAGCCACAACCCCAGAGGATGCTGCCCCTAAGGAAGTGAGCAGCCCACTTGCTCCCATGCGTCCCACCCACCCACCTCCCATCATCCCATGCCTCCTTACCTCTACTTACCATGCAGCCATGCAGAGCGCCATGATGCCTGAGGCTGCTGGGAAGTGGGAGGAGGGGGGGATTATCAGAGGGAGGGACTCCACTGTGGTCCAGGCAGGGTGCTGCTGGGAGGGAAGGGAAAAGGGAGAGAGGAGGAGGTGAGTGAGAGGGTGGACTCCACTCTCCACCCTTGCTCCAGTGCTCCCCCACTCTCAGCACACCTCCCCACACCTTGACCTAGCCTAGCCTAGCCCCCCACCACTGCTGTTGCTGCTGCTGCTGCTGCCAGTCTGCCACTGAGCTTCCTCTGCTACAGTCTTTGCTCGATGCCAAGTAACCTGGTAGCGGGCATAGAAAATGGAGAGGGAGACAGGAGAGGAAGGGCAAGAGGAGGAACAGGTGAGTTGGCAGAAACAAGGAGACTCAAGCTGAGAGAAACGAGAATGGAAAGAACAAAGAGACAGCTGCAGCAGATACAGAACCCGAGGGAGGGACGGATGAGGCTAAGGAGAGAGGTGACATACCTTGAGAGGCCAAGCTCATCCCATACTCTCCCTCGTGGCAGTGACTCAAGTCTGCTGCATTGCTGCCTCCCATCCGATCCACATGCATAGCTGCATGGCCACCGGGGAGGGGCGTGAGGGAGCATCGGTGTTGAGGCTTTCCATCTGCCAGGGAAGCAGGCACGGGCGGGAGGAGAAGGGAGTGAGTTTACGGAGAGGAGTCAGGTGCAGAGGGTGGCGAGTGTAACACTGGGCATGGCAGTGTGTGCGTGGTGAGCATGGTGAGAGCATGGTATGGCATGAGATGCGACAACACTCCCTCCACAGGAGCCAAGTACCAAACCTTCACCTTCCACCTGAACTACAACCTAACCTGAAATAAACCCAAAGAAAAACCTGAACCCCTACCAAGGGAAAAGGCTCTGTGGAGGGGTGGCTGGCATGAAGCAAGGAGGAAGGCGCGCAAGGGGGAAGGTGGCAGTGCAGGGGGTGTCGGGATGTGGGCTGGAGAGTTGAAACAAGAGCTTGAGCTGAAAGAAAGACTGAACGGAGTAGAAACCAAACCAAGGGCTGTGAGCTTATCTTTGTGTGGAGCATTGAGGGTGCCGTACTGTTCCGCCTTGCTGCTGCCCCCTGCTGCTGTGCCTTGCTGCTACCCCTTGCTGCTGACACTAGCTTCGAGCAGAGAGCCTGGCAGAGAGGGGGGAAGAGGGGGAGGGCGGTGAGAGGGAAGAGGGGCGGGAGCGGGAACGAGTGAAGGGAAACTATGGAGGACACAAGGGGCGGGATGCATGCAAGTGCAGAGGGTGAAGGGTGAGAGCATGGCATGGCATGGCATGGCATGGCATGAATGAGATGGGGCATGGTGCAGCGACAACACTCCCTCCACAGGAGCCAAGTACCAAACCTTCACCTTCCACCTGAATCATAACCTGAAACTCTACCTGAAACCTGGACCTTCACCAAGGGGGGAGGCTCAGTGGAGGGGTGGTTGGCATGACAGCAAGGAGGAGGGCAGACGGGGGGATGGCAGTGCAGGGGACACAGGTGTTCAAACTAGAGCCTGAGCTGAAACGGAAGCGGAGCGGTATGCAACCAAGGGTGTGGGCTTATCTTTGTGTGCAGCGTTGAGGGTGCGTTGCTGCCCCTTGCTGCTGCACTTAGCTGCTGCACTTAGCTGCTGCACTTAGCTGCTGCACTTAGCTGCTGCACTTTGCTCCTGACCCTTCCTTCTCCCCCTTGGGGCTGAGACTTGGACTGCAGGACAGGGTTGATGCAAAGAGGGGTGGTTGGCATGACAGCGAGGAGGAAGGCGCAAGGGGGGTGACAGTGCAGGGGGCATTGCTGCTCAAACGAGGGTTAAATTTGAGTGCCTTGCTGCCCCTGGCTCCTGCCCCTTGCTGCTGCCCCTTGCTGCTGCCCCTTGCTGCTGCCCCTTGCTGCTGCCCCTTGCTCCTGACAATTGCTGCTGACCCTTGCTCCTGCGCCTTGCCGCTGGGACTTGGACTGCAGGACAGGGTTGATGCAAAGAGCCTGGCAGTCAGGAGGAGGAGGGGGGAGGGGAAGGGGGGGGAAGGGTAGAAGGGAGGGAGGAGGGAAGCGACCAGGAGTGAGTGAAGGGAAGCTATGGAGTAAACACGGGGCGGAATGCGTGCATGTGCAGTGGGTGATGGTGAGAACATGGGATGGCATGAGATGGTCACATGGGGCAGGTGCAGCGACAACACTCCCTCCACAGGAGCCGAGTACCATACCTTCACCTTTCACCTCAACCTTAACCCAAAGAAAACTTGAACCTTTACCAAGGGGGGAAGCTCTGTGGAGGGCTTGTTGGCATGACAGGGAGGAGGAGGGCGGATGGGGGGTTGACAGTGCAGGAAACATCGGTTTTCAAACAAGAGCTCGAGCTGAAACAGAAACAGAGCGGGTGTGAACCAAGGGTGTGGGCTTATATTTGTGTGCAGCGTTGAGGGTGCCTTGCTGCCCCTTGCTGCTGCCCTTTGCTGCTGCGCCTTGCACCCTTGCAGCTGCGCCTTTCTCCTGACCCTTGTTTCTGCGCCCTGCTGCAGATGCAGAAGAAAGATACTTAGACTGCAGGATACTTAAAGCGGAGAGCCTGGCAGTCAGAAGGGGGGGAGGAAGGGTAGAAGGGAGGGGAGAGGGAAGCGATCAGGAGTGAGTGAAGGACCGCTGTGGAGGACACAAGGGGGCGGAGTGCGTGCATGCAGTGCTGTGGGTGATGGTGAGCGCATCCGATGGCATGAGATGGGGTAGGGTGCCGTGCCACGCCATGCCAAGCACGCTCTCCATAGGAGCCAAGTACCATACCTTGTACCTCAACCTACCACATACCTTCACCTCTCACCTCTCACCTCTCACCTCTCACCTCTCACCTCTCACCTCTCACCTCTCACCTGAACCTGAACCTAAATCTGAACCTGACCTCAACTTGGGGGAGGGGCTCCTTGGAGGGGCGGCTGGCACAGCAGCAAGGTGGGTGGAAAGGAGATGGCAGCGCATTGCAAGGCAGCATGGCGGATGGAGGCTGGAAAAGCAGAGAGCGAGAAGGTGAGAACCCAAGGGCGCGGAGCTTATCTGTTCATCGCGTGTGCACGGTTGCTGCAGGCCTTGGCGCTTGCAACCGTGCCGAGGAGGTCTTGGTGTTGCCTTGCGCCTATGAGTTGCCGTGCGCCTGGTTGCTGCCTTGAGTGCTGGTTGGTGGCGAGTGAGGGGCCTCCAGAATAGCACCTGGGAGTGAAGGGCGGAGGCAGAGAGAGAAAGAGAATGAGTGCAAGGCAACCATGACTGTAAGGACAACCAATCGAAAGCTGTGCGAGTGTGGTGTGGGGAGTGATTGGTGAGCGTGCAAGGTGCACAGAGGGCCGTGGGTGCACAGAGGGCCGTGGGCGCACAGAGGGCCGTGGGCGCACAGAGGGCCGTGGGCGCACAGAGGGCCGTGGGCGCACAGAGGGCCGTGGGCGCACAGAGGGCCGTGGGTGCACAGAGGGCCGTGGGCGCACAGAGGGCCGTGGGTGCACAGAGGGCCGTGGGCGCACAGAGGGCCGTGGGCGCACAGAGGGCCGTGGGCGCACAGAGGGCCGTGGGCGCACAGAGGGCCGTGGGCGCACAGAGGGCCGTGGGCGCACAGAGGGCCGTGGGCGCACAGAGGGCCGTGGGTGCACAGAGGGCCGTGGGCGCACAGAGGGCCGTGGGTGCACAGAGGGCCGTGGGTGCACAGAGGGCCGTGGGCGCACAGAGGGCCGTGGGCGCACAGAGGGCCGTGGGCGCACAGAGGGCCGTGGGCGCACAGAGGGCCGTGGGCGCACAGAGGGCCGTGGGCGCACAGAGGGCCGTGGGCGCACAGAGGGCCGTGGGCGCACAGAGGGCCGTGGGCGCACAGAGAGCTGTGGGCGCACAGAGGGCCGTGGGCGCACAGAGAGCTGTGGGCGCACAGAGGGCCGTGGGCGCACAGAGAGCTGTGGGCGCACAGGCATGGCAGCGTTGAGCAGAGAACCTGCAAGTATCACGCAGGAGTCAGTGAGTATATTGCAGAAACAATCCATGCCAAAGAAAAAGTAATGCGGTGAAGAGGTGCGAGTGAGGAGTGTGAGTGAGGCGACCACAGCAGCACAGGAGCCAAATACCACAGGGAAAACACCTCAAGGGGAACCTCAACCTGTACCAACCTGAACCTCAACCTGAACCAGGGGAAAGGGGGGGGCCTCGTGTGGAGTGTGGAGGCAGGAGGGGGCGATACTGCAACCTTCAGCGTGCAGGCAGGTGGTGTGGCTTGGACGGTGCTGCCCGCCCTGAAGTGCCTCTGGAGAGTGTTGGGGCGACTGTGGCACTCGCTTGAAGAGCCTTGGTGCTCCCCTGAACGGCCTTGCGACTTGAGCAGCTCAAGTTGAGCCTTGGGCGAGGTGGAGAGAACCTGCCAAGCACACAAGGAGGAGAGGAAAGGAGTGAGTGCAAGGCTCAAGGAGAAAAGGAACTGAACGGACTGTGCAAGTGTGGTGTGAAAAGAACAATGGAGGTGTGCATGCGAGCCCAGCACAGCGCCACAAGAGCCATGCAGCAAAGGAAAAACCTGAGGGGGCACCTGAACCTGTCCCGTACCAAACCTGAACCTGAACCTTGACCTCAACCAGGGGGGGGCTCTTGTGGACCACGGAGGGCTGGGGTGATACTTGCAACCTTCCAATCCAAGTGTTCGAAGGTGCTCCTCTTCTCCTCTGCTCTCTGCTCCGCTGCTCGTCTCCTCTGCTACTCTCCTCCTCTCCTCTCCTCCTCTCCTCTGCTCCTCTCCTCTGTTCCTCTCCTCCTCTCCGAGCCAAAAAACTCACCTGAGGGGCACCTGAACCTGACCCTGAACCTTGACCATAACCAGGGGGGGGGCTCATGTGGACCGTGGAGGGCTGCGGTGATACTTTCAACCTTCCATGTGCTCGAAGGTTCGCCTCTTCTCTGCTCCTATGCTCCTCTTCTCCTCTCCTCCGCTCCTCTCCTCCTCCGCTCCTCTTCTCCTCTGCTCCTCTTCTCTGCTGCTCCTCTGCTGCTGGCGCCCACACCGCCAGCTTTGTAAGCATAAGGGCCTTGGCGTTGTATTGGTCAAAAGAACCTGCAGGCAACACCAAGAGGGAGTCAGTGAGCGCATGGCAGACGGAAGCGAAAGATGCTGCAGCATGCTGGAAAAGGGCAGGAAAATGTGCGAACGGGATATGCACCGACCACAGCACCACAGGAGCCCAGAGAAAACACCTGAAGGGGCACCTGAACCTCAACCGCGACCAAGGGGGGGGGGCTCTTGTGGACCGTGGAGGGCTGGGGTGATACTTGCAACCTTCAATGGCGTCGAGGCTGCTCCTCCTCTGCTCCTCTGCTCGTCCGATGTTGTGCTGTTGAAGCCAACACCACCTGCCTTGTGAGCAGAAGCACCTTGGTGTTGAGATGCTCGCTCGAACCTGCCAGGGAAGTGAGGAGAGAAGTCAGTGAGTACATGGCGGCAGGCAACAATCCAACGGAAAGAAGATGCGAATGAAGGAAAGATGCACGACCACAGCACCACTAGAGCCAGGTTTTAGAAAAAAAAACACCTGAAGGGGCACCTGAACCTGATTCGAACCTCAACCTCGACCAGGGGGGGTGGCTCATGTGGAGAGTGGCGGCAGGAGATGACACTTGAACTTTCACCCTTCATCACTTCCATGAGCCTCAGTCGTCTGGACGCTGCTCCAGCCTTCCCCCTTGCAATCCGTCGCCTGGAGCTGCGCCCGTGCCGTAGTGCGCGCCTAGCTGCTCATTTTCCATCGCCATGAGCATGCCTGGGGGAGCAGGGAGATGAAAGGGACAGTGGGCCAGAGGGGAGAGGGTATAAGTCGGAGACTGGCAGAAGCAGGAACGTGGCAGTGAGGGTTGAAGATGCACAATAGTCAAACGAGGCTGCAAAAACGTATGGAAACTAAGGAAGAAGAAGTTTGACGAAGGTCTTGAAAACGCACCTCAGAACGCATTCAAGATTTGCGGACTATTTGGCGAACGGCGACGCAGACAGAGAACCTCCCGAGGTCAACAACCACGAATCGCAGAGCTGGACTCAGTCTTGCGACCGATCTCTTGCAGCTGCTCAACTTGAATCTCTGCATGTCAAGAAAAATGCACGTCATCGTGGGTACGTTTTGCTCGAATAGGAAGAACAATTGGGCTACAAAAAATTCACGCCAAAGCGATCGCACATGAACTCCTGCCGGTGCTTTTACCTGTGGATGAAAATGTCGAAACGCTGGCGCGATTGGCTCGCGAGGTGAGGCAGATCGCGTGCGGAAAGAAATCAAACGAACCAAGCACGCCTCAGGACGAACGAGCCGGTGGTGCGGTAGCGATAACGAGCTGAAAATCGAATGACTGGGAGAAGGCGAGGAGCGTGCAGCAAGCTAGCTAATGTGCAGCAAATTTGGTGAATTGAACGGAGAATCGCGAAATGAGGGTGCTGAGAGGCACGAGGCCACGGATTGGGTTGGGGTACGCTGCTGATCCGTGGGGGACTGAATTTGCGACTTCATGTGTGGCTCAACGTTCATGCCGCCTAAATTTCGAAATAAGCATTCAAGGATTCAAAATCGCTTCGCTGGCACCTACGGTGGTCCCACATGTGACAGCGTGGACCATTATCCAAGCAATCCGGTCGAGGATAAGATAGTTCTAGCTGCGTGCTAAACCAGTTCATTCGGAATCTAATTTCTGCTTTCTGAAAAATCTCCTTGGGGATTCGTAGTTTGCCTACGTGGGCTGATTCAATGGTTACGGACCCACGGGCCCACGTGACGAAAGCAGCATTGAAAGCACAAGTGACGCTGGCTGACGTAGCATGACGTGTACTACTCCTAGCAGCACCGCAAACCAGATATTGGGTAGCTCGTGGGATCCACTTTCCGCCTTGATAGTGCGGTGAGATGATCCAGCTGCCTCCAAACGGTGGGCGGGAAACTAGTGCTTCAGCGTTTGTGACTGACAGCGCAAGTCGAATTTGAAAACGGGAGAAATCATTGTGGGGCGAAACAGAAGCTGGTTGGGGATTGCTGATCCAGGATTTTCGCTAAATTTCGCCTGGCTCGTCGTTTTGTGACTTATGGAGCATCAGACTACAAACCTACAGAGCATCATTACCAAAATTTATGATTTTCCTTCAACGTTTACATTCAGTGCTTGTCCTAGGCCATCTAGGTTGACCAAACACATTGTAAGGCACTAGGTTGGAAGTATTATTATGGAATGCTTTCACATGATTCACTGGTTGGCAGGTACGTCATTTGCCATAACTAAAACCTATCTCATGTGCTTCCATTAGTCAAACAGTTTGGTATCATACCGGTACCCCTGTGGGTGGGCAGTCTGATCTCTCAAACACCTCCGATCCGACTCCAAATGCCACTTGACACGCCATCAAATCAAATGCTGCAATGCAATGAAACTACACCGCACACTACAGCCGCAACCTACAGTGCATGCTACAGCCACAGTCCACGCCACATGCTACATCCCAGCTCAACCTACAGTGCATGCCCATCGATGTAGCTCTTGAGTGCACTGCTCCTCCCCGGCTGCCTCAGCTTCAGCAGCGCCTTACCCTCAATCTGCCGCACCCTTTCCCTTGTCACTCGGAACAGCGACCCCAGCTCCTCCAGGGTTTTCACGCGCCCGTCGTCCAGCCCGTACCGGTGCCACATCACCTCCCTCTCGCGCGGCGTCAGCGTGTGCAGGGCGTTCTCGAGGTCCTTGCGCATCAGCTGCTGCATGATCATGTCCTCGGGGTTCTCCAGAGTCGTGTCTGCCACAAAGGCCTGGGGAAGCATTGGGGGAGGCATGAGAGAAAGCGAGGGCAGGTTAACTTAATAGGTCCTTGCGCAGCAGCTGCTGCATGATCATGTCCTCGGGGTTCTCGAGGGTGGTGTCTGCGACAAACGCCTGGGGAGGATGGGGGATGGCATAAAAGAAACGAAGGTCCATTTACTTAGTAACTTCTTGTGCATCAGCTGCTGCATGATCATGTCCTCTGGTTTCTCCAGGGTGGTGTCTGCCACAAAGGTCTGGAGAGGGTAGAAAGAAGGACAGCATACACAGCAAGAGAGGAGGGTGTGGGTGGGGGGGCTGAGGCTACAAGGTCCTTGCGCATCAGCTGCTGCATGATGCTGCGCACGACGCCCGCACCTCAGACAAGAGACCCCACCCTGGCCCACTCACCCTCAGAGCCTCACTCCCCACTCAGACGCCACTCACCCCAAGCGTCAGTCTCATCCCCGTCGTCCGAGGCAATGGAACGGTCCATGATGCTGCGCAGCTTGCCCCGCATGATGCCCACCATGCGCCACCTCCCGCTCCGCCCATGGCCTGCCCCTACCCCTGCCCCTGCCCCTACCCATACCCATACCCACTCCCTCACCACTCACTGACACCCAGAAACTCCATGCTTTCTCACCCACCGGCTGCCCACCTCTCCGCCTTGCCCCTGCGCATATCCACTCGCACCGAGCGTCTTGTCCCCATCATCTGAGGCGATGAGGCGGTCCATGGAGGTGGGCGCGCGCACAGTGCGCATGATGCTGCGCAGCTTGCAGTGCGTGCTGTGCTCCCCCATACCACCCACCAGGGAAGCCACTGGGCTGCCTCCCACCCACCCGCCTCACCCTTATGGAATAAACACTCACCCCGAGCGTCTCATCCCCGTCGTCCGAGGCAATTGGGCGGTCCATGGAGGTGGGCGCGCGCACAGTGCGCATGATGCTGCGCAGCTTGCCCCGCGTGATCCCCACCAGCTGCGCCACCTCCCGCTCCGCCGGCGCGCGCCCTAGCGCGTCCGTGAGCATGGCCTTGGCGCGGTTGATGCGCGACACCAGCTCGTAGATGTGCGCCTGAAGGAGGAGGGGGGGGGCGGGGGGGGGGGGGGAGGGGGAGTAGGGGGTGGAGAAAGCGGGTGAGGGGAGTGTGGAGGAGTGGGGCAGGGGCAAGGGGGCCGTGGGTTGTAGTTGATGCGCGACACCTGAAGGTACATGTGCGACTGAGAGAGGGAGAAGGGGGGGGGGGGGGAGGAAAGGGTATGGGCGACCCACTCACCGGCAGTCGCACGATGCGGCTCTGCTCCGCGACGGAGCGGCTGATCGCCTGGCGGATCCACCAATGCGCGTACGTGCTGAACTTAAAGCCCTTGCTGTGGTCGAATTTCTCCACCCCCTTCATAAGCCCCATGCACCCCGCAGTTATAAGCTCCTCCAGCGACAACCCGCGCGTCGTGTATTTCTTCGCGACGGAAATCACCAATCGCATGTTCGACGCGATCATGCGCTGCTTGCACTCCTTCCCGAACGCCACGCGCGCCTGCACCTCCGCGACGGACAGCCCCGCCGCTTCCGCCCACTCCGCGCGGGTCGGTGCGCGGAGCAGCTTCTCCTCCAGCGCCTCCCGCTCGCGCTCTAGCTTCAGCAGCGCCTGAACCCCCTTGGAGAGATCGATTTCCTCCTGGACTGACAGCAGTCGCGGGTTACCACCCGCCGTGTCGAACATTGCGAAAACAGATTCATTCGCTGCCCGCCTGTACCCCTCCGCTACGACCGCATCTTCCGCTTCCGACTCTTCCTCCCCCAAAGCGAGCGCCGGCTTCTTTCTCCCAGCGGGAACCGCCGCGGTGGCGGCGGCGGCGGCGGCTGACGCGGCCTGGCGCTGCTGCAAGGACTTTTCGCGCTCCGCGAGGCGCTTGCCCTTCATCTGCGAGCGCACCACCACGCGCTTCGGCTTTCGCTCCGCTTCCCCCTCCCGCTCCGCCTTCCGCTCGGCTTCCCGCGCGCCGTCCACCAGCGCGCGCTCTAGCCCGTGGTACGCGGCGTCTTCCGCCCACATGACAATCTCCGCCGGGTGCGCATCCTCCCCGCTCACATGACAATCCCCGCCGCCAACTGCTTGCGCCAAACTGCCTTCCTCCGCCTTCCCTTCCCCTGACGCCCCGCCCGCCCGTCGCGCGGCCCTCCTTTCGCGAATCGGCTTCGCGGTGCGTTTGACGGCGTGCGGCTGGTCGTTAAGACTTGCCTTCGGAGATCTACCCTGCGCCGTCCGATCTACCGCAGATAAGATACGATCGTCCGGATGCGGGGGTTCCTGGGGAAGATAGTCATGTGGAAGCCGGGCAAACGGCTGGGTTGAGAACGGTTGGAAGGGAGAAGGTTCGACTGGGGACGGCTGGACTGGGACAGGCGGTGAGGGAGGGGGAGAAGCGGAGGCGGAAGGTAGGGGGAGTTCTGAGTTTAGACTGTCTCTCGCGCCGCGATACGACCCTATATGCGTGACCTTATCAACGGCTAACAGCCACATGTGGTGCAGCTGATCGCTGCTCATAATCTCGTCCGCTCCCTCCTCCTCTTCCTCCCCCCAGCCTAACAACGGCGAGCTTAACGAGCTATCCTGTGGTAACCCGTATTTGTCGTCGTCATCGTCGTCATAGAGGCCCATCGCCTCCTCCGATAGCGAAAGCTCCGCTGCTTCCTTCGCAACGGCTAACGCTGCGCGCGCGAGCGCAAGGGCTTCCGCCGCTGCTGCGCGCGTAGTCGCGGCGGTGAAGAGGTCGTCCGCCAGCTCAATGGCGCAGGCGGAAGCGGGAGAGGCGGAAGACGCCGAGAAGCGCGCCGAGGAAGCGACGGCAGAGCCATTCACGTGACTGCATGATGGGACGAAGGGGGGGGGAGGAGGAGGGAGAAACCGCGGTGAGAAGGAATGTACGAGGAGATAAATAAGGGAATGGAGGGATGGGGACGACAAAGGAATGCACGAGGTGATGGAAGAGGGGATGCATCAGAAGAAACGTGGCAGCGTCACAATGGGCTTCACAGAAATACCAACGTTGGACGAGATTCGGCCACGCCGAAAAGGAAATCCGCGAAACAGCTTACTGTTGCGATGAGCTTGCGAAGCCGGAATGCAGGGTCATGCGCGGCGACGGCGCGGATACCGAAGCGGAATGCGCGGAGCTGGCTGCGAGCGACGGACCCGCGGAAGATGCGGAGCTGACGGAGGCCGCGGGGGCCTCCGCGACTGGCGATGCTCGCCGGAAAGGGGTTGCTGACGTGGACGAGCTCAAGCACGGGCTTGATCCTGTACAGGCGAATGAGAAGGGATACCGGGAGAGTACAGACACATGGAGAGTGCTTGGTCAGATATGCAGGTATTGATAGTCTGACGATGAGATTCGACGCGCCTAGACGGACAGCGTTACGTTAGGTGAGAGAAAATCTCCTACTTTTGTTGAAGTTGCTAAACCCTGCACTCTCCAATACCTGGTCTGTCAACAGTCACGCGTTCCAAAAGGAACTTGCGCTGGAAAGCAGTAGCGGAAACGGCCATTCGGCAGAATCCAGCAAAGCTGAAGAGTTCAAAGGAACAGAATGATGTTGGCTGCTGACAATGGAAAAACCCTGCTTGATGTCAGTAATTCCAGCAAAGCTTTAGGGAAGAAGAGAGAAAAGGAGGGAGAGCAGCTGCTGGAGCAACCCGCTAAAGAGAATGTCAAAATCACGAGAACCAATTTATAATCCCCCTAGGGAATTCCTGTCGAGCGGCATTAGAACGAGGCCAGACAGCAGCTTCAGGAGGAAGTGCATGGCACAACTGCTTCGTCGTCACCGAACATTTGTGACTGTACCGCGATGCAGCGAAACGATTTTGGTTTTGCCTGTCGCACATAGTGTTCGCCACGCTTCGTTTGTCCTGAAAATTGAACAAGTCAGGGGCCTTCGTGTCACTATATCCTGATCGTGGCACACCCGCATTCGTCAACGAAGCAGCGCATAGATGCATCCTTGCTGTTCGAGAAGGATCCAACGGCAAGGAGCTGGACATTGCTGTCCACGTCGATAGCCAGCACATTGGTCCACGACTTGACCTATCCGCGCGCACTTCGATTTCATCAAGCTGGAATTGAGTGGAATGACGTGTAGTTAGCTCCTTCTCGGCAAGCGTGGCGATAGAACCAGACACCCTGGTTTGGAACACTTCTAACATCTGTTATCCTTGCCTATCTGCATATGGTCCAATGACTTGTGCAAGCAAATTAAATTATACGTTGATTACTGAAAACTAACAACTTACATGCTGACAGTAAGAGGTCGCATTAAATATAATAGAAGTGAGCCACTAGAAATGACTCCCCCAAGACTGCACACATTCTGAATTCTACGGGTCGTAGTAATAAATAGGAGTTTGCCTGCCACTCCTCAGGAGTCAAAGTCCCAACCACCAAGGTCCACCATGTTCATATCTTCCAAAGTCAACTCAATTTCACTCGGCCATTCCACCTCCGCACCGCCCACTATCATAGTCTCCAATCCAGCTACACCACCTTCCGTTACAAGTGCACCACCGTTGTTACCACCCTTGGCCCCATCCGCCAAACCACCAGCAGCAAGCACCCCAGTCGCCCCTGCCAAAACATTCCCATGAGTTGAAGCCCCTGCAGCTGCTGTTGCTACTAGTGGTGATAGGCCAGCAGCAGCACTTGTGATACCCACATCTGAGCCTGAGGGGGGTAGTGCATGTGAATGCTGATGACTGTGATGGTTGTGATTGTAATGGTGCTGCTGCTGCTCCAGCTCCTGTGGCTCAGCAAAATCATCACTTTCTGGCTCAGCCTTCATATACCCCTCCACACCCACCCCAACTCCTCTTAACCCTCCATCCACCTTCCCATCTCCAACCTCCTGCCCCACACCTCCAAACTCCCCGCTCCCTTGTCGGTCAGCCAGCAGCTGCAGGGAAGTTTTTCGGCTGCCCATACCGCTGCCCATGGGGGAAGGCGCCGCACTCCCATCCCAGACCACATTCTCCGAGCCAAACCCGTCCTCCGTACCTCCATACCCAGCCTGGCCCATGCTCTGTCCCATGCTCTGTCCCATGCTCTGCTGCCCTGCGTTCCTGCTCGTGCCGCCCTCGCCATCCTCGTTATTGCTGTCTGCCGCCCGGCCCAGGCTGCCTGTGCCGACAGACGAGGTTCCCTGGCTCTCGCCCTTCTCCTTTTTTAGAGTCTGGTTTGGTGCAAGGGAGCGAGGGGACAGTTGAAACAGCAAATGAGGAGGCAAGGGCAACTGATTCCGACACAACTCCTAGGTGCAAGGATACGAGCGGACAGTGAAAAGAGCGGATGAGGGAGAGGCAAGAGCAACTAGCTTAGAGGTATCTCAAAAGGTCTTGCTCACGCACGCACCTGCACTTGCTCCTGCAGCGAGCGCACGTATTGAATGGCTTCATCCAGCATGGATGCCGTGTCTGTGTTGAGCGCAATCATGCTCACCCCCGCAACCCCGCCTCCCCTCCTCCTCCTCACCTCCACCCACCCACCCACTCACTCCTCACTCATTCCCTCTCTCACACACGCACACCCACAGATACAGACACTCACTAACAGACACTCACTCACAGACACACACCCACACACACACAAACGCACCTGCACTTGCTCCTGCAGCGAGCGCACGTATTGAATGGCCTCATCCAGCATCGATGCCGTGTCTGTGTTGCGTGCATTCGGCACCAAGTCATAGAGCGCCCTCATGCGCTGGCTGATGCGGTCCCTCCGAAGCTGAGAGGGGGGAAAGCAGAGAGGGTGGGGGAGGGCGAAGGCGTGAAAATCGTGCTGTTTTTCCTCCATGCATTATTACGTGAGGGAGGGCACCAAGTCGTACAGCGCCCGCATGTGCTGGCTGATGCGGTCCCTTCAAAGAAGAAAGGTTGGGAGGAGGAAAGATGGAAGAGGCGCGAAGCGAGAGAGGAGGGAATTTCTGGATTCCATGCATTCGGCACCAAGTCATGGTGACTGATTGCAAACAGCTACACAGGACCATGCGATCAGCTCTCTCACCCTTGCAGCTACCGAATGCGGGTCCGTGGCTGTCCCCCGCTTCTGCCTCTGCTTCTTCGCCTCTCCCCCTGACGCATCCCCCTGAGCACCCCCACTCCCCCCCCCAACAGCCGCACCAGCCGAAGACGTCCCCCCTCCCGCCCCTGCCCCCCCTTTCTTTCCCCCTCCCACTCTCCTCGCCCTCCCCACTCCCCCGCTGTTCGCCCCACTGACCTGCCCCGAACTCCCCCCAACCCCTTCCCCCAGCCCCTTCCGCCCTACCCCTGCGCCCCCCCCTCCCTGCGCCTCGTCCCCCTGACCCATGGCCTCGTCTCTGTCACTCTCCCCCTCCCCCGCATCACTCCCCCATGCTCGTTTCCGGCAAGGGCTTTCCCCCCTGAGGGGACTCCGCCCCCGGATTGGACTCTCCCCCCTCAGGGGGCTCTCACTTCTCACCCTCTCCCTGCTGCCGTCCCTACTGCCGATCCCCACTCCTCCTGCCCCCGTCCCGCCCGCCCCTCTCCCCCCTCGCTCCCCACTCCGCCCCCTCCCCCCTTGCCCCACTGAATTTCCTGGAAGCTGCGGGCTCCTGCCCGGCTTGCTCGACCCAGAACCAGACCCTCCGGACCCCCCTCCTTCGAAAACAGAATTCGCAAACCCATCACCTGGGGAACCACCTGAAGACGTAAACCCACCTGGGCTCTCCCCCCCACCTGACCGCCCGGAATCCGTGCTCAGGGCAGGACTGAGAGTCCGGGCAGACGAACAATTCGACCCGCCCGCCAACCCAGCAGCGGCCCCACCAGGAGTCCCACCATCCCCGCCCGCACCACCCGGGCTGTTCCCTAAAACACCACTGCTTCGGGCAAACTCTAACAGCTGTTTCTGCTCGGATTCTGGGAGGGAGGAGCTTCCACTGGAGGTGCGGATATGAGAGAGAGCCACGCGGCTGCGCTTTCCAGAGTTTTCAAACACCTCAGTGGAAGGCAGGTCGCCTATGGGCGTGTCTAGAGGAAGAAGCTCCAGCCCCACGTGCCACCCGGCCGGCCGCCCCTGGGCCTTCTCCTTCCCACTCCCTCCTCCCGCTCCTCCTCCCGCTCCTCCGCCTGCTGCTCCCCCTGCCGCTGACCCTCCTCCTGGGAGCTCCCCATTGGGCCCAGCCCCGTTGTCCAAGGGAGTCATTCGGGAGGGAGCAGCGCTCAGGCTCGAAGCACGACCCCCCAGGGGACCCCCTAGAACACCCCCCCCTAGGGGCACCCCCCCTCCTTTTGCGTCTATGCTGCTACGGGAGCCTGAAGCACCACCCATGGCGGTATTTTTCTTCAGAGAGAGGGAGTTGAGACTCCGGGAGGTCATCCCTGCAAAAAGATTTTGGCTGCTGCCCGCCGCTGCTGCCCCCGCAGGGCTGATGGCGGAGGAAAGTTTCGCTCTGCTGCCCGTGACTTCTGCTGCCATGGCAGGGCTCATGCAAACTGAGCTGGACTGGCCTGATTCTGACGTGTCAAACTCTAATGTGTCTAGATTCAGACCGAATCCAGCTATGTTTATCCCCTCCAAAAGGTCATTCACTGCACTCGCTTGAAGATTGAATATGTTGTTCTCACTGGTGGCCTGCCTACCTCCTGCTCCTCCTCCTGCTGCTGCTGCCCCCCCTCCCCGGCTTTGCCCTGTTCCCGGCCTGCTTTGAGCTGACTCCTCTAACACTCCCCCACCACTCGCTCCTGTCCCTCTCCCCTTTCCATCCACCTCCATCTCCCCTCCCCCATCCCCTCCCCCAACCCCTCGGCTCCCCTCCTGCATATCCTCCCCCCCCACCTTCCCCCCGCCCCCCATCCCCCCGCGCCCGCCCCCTTCCGCGCCCAGCGAATCAGAGAGCTCGATGTTCCCCAGGTCCGCCTGCGCCTGCGCGAGAATAGACCCCCACGCCTCCCCCATTTTCCCCTTCCCCGCCGCTGCTGCTGCTACTAGCTCCGCCAGTACCTTTTCCTCTACAGACATTCCCCCCTTTCCGCCCTTACCGCCGCTGCTACTCCCCCCCGCGCCTATCCCCGCGCCACTGCTGCTGGACTGCGCCTGCTTCCCCCCCATCTGTCGCTGCTGGTTCCCCCCAAGCGCCCCCGTTCCCCCGCCCCCGCCCCCGGTTCCCCCCTGCTGGCGCATCTGCTGCTGCTTCTGCTGCAGCAGCTGGTTCAGTAAATCCCCCTGGGAGTCGCTTCCGCCACGAGGGGAGGCGGCGGAGGTGGGGGAACGCGGTAGGTCAATCCCCCCCCGCCCTGGGGAAACGGGGGTCTGGGCGGAAACCCTTGCGCCCCCTGCCCCTCCACCTCCCCCTCCGCCTGCTGCCTCTGCTGCGGGTCTTGTGCTACTATCCTGACTGACGCTAAACGCGGATGCCTCAGGGGCGCTATCCGCCCTCCCCATGCCCTCATCCGCTCCGCCCTTCCCCCCGCCCAATTCCCCCGCGCCTTCCGCCCCGCCTCCGCCCGCGCCCCCTTTGGAGCTTCCGCCAGCGCCCGCCTTCCAGCTGGGGTTCCGCGAGGAGGACTGGCGGCGCTCCAGTGGGGAGGGGTTGGTTGGCGCGGACGGGCTGGGGCGGAAGGGGGAAGGGGGAAGAGGGAAGGGAGATGTGTGGGGAGTGGGGCCGAAAGGGGAATAGTGAGGGGAAGGATGGGAGGATGCGGGGGCCAATGAAGTCGGGTACGGAGTGGATTACGTGAAAGAGTGGGGTAGGGAGTGGGGTAGGGAGTGGGGTAGGGGGTGGGGCAGGGAGTGGGTTACGGAGTGGGGTAGAGCGAGGATTGGTGGGAGCTGGAGGGGCAACATGGGTTGCGCAGACAATTGGCGCACCAACAAGGCAGGGGGGCGGCGCGCGGAGGATCTGGCATTGTGAGCGGAGGGATGAAACTTTTCTTTTAGCTCCTCAAAAATCGTTTCACGTATCTCCCATGTATTTCTATCCAAGCATCAACCAACGTTTGCATGGGCTGCATTGTTCGCGCTTGGCAACTTCATCAATTGTTCTTTGCAATAAGTACTTCTTACTCCGATTCCTACTCCGATTCTTACTCCAACACCCCTAGCTTGTCCCCTTCCCCGGTCTCTTTTCCCCCACACAGCACATATGTTTCCTTACCCCCATCCCATACTCCTCCGCTCTGACAACCCAAAACTCGCCCCGTGAACTCACCTTTGCCCCTGCAGTTTGGCTGCCAGTGCCTCGCACAGCAGCATATCCAGCACCCCGTACTTGTCCCCGTCCCCGCCTCCCGCCGCCGCTGCTATCGCCGCCGCCGCGGCAGCCGCCGCGGAAGGGGAAGGGCCTCCCCCCGGCCGCGGAGGCTGAAGCGCGGACTGCTGCGCGCGCTGCAGCAGCGGCTGCTGCGCCTGCGCCTGCTGCTGCTGCCGCGGGCGGGGCTGCGGGGGCGTTCCGCGCGGAGCAGTGGCCTGAAACGCAATAGGCAATACCAGGCGCACAATAAAGAGGCACGCAATAAAGAGGCGGAAGGGAGCGCAGGAGGCGGCGCTGTTCCAGTTGCGGCGAGAGGATAGCATGCGTTTTAGGTGCCTCGGAAATAGGGTTAGCAGGAAGCGTAAGGGGCAGCAGGAGGAGGGACTGAACTGACCACTAGATTTTAGCGGCTCTGCAGTATGCGGGCTTGCGTGCGCATGCAATGCAACACCCATAGATCAGTCGCGAACCGAGCCTGAGTAACACGTTGCTCCAAACCAAACGATTCGTACAAACGCTGCGCGTACCTGGCCTAGCGCGACGAGCAGCTGGTTCAGCAACGCATTCTGCCTTGGCGAATCCCCAACCACTCCCAACCCCCCTCCACCCCCTCCTCCTCCTGCCCCTGCTCCTCCCCCAGCACCTCCTCCACCCCCTCCTCCCCCACCCCCACGTGCCGCCCCTCCTCCTCCGCCTCCCCCTCCGCCTGTGAGGGCCGTTACAAGCTGATCCAACAACTGCTGCTGCTGCTGCTGCTCGTCTAACTGCATTCGCTGCGGCTGCTGCGGCGGCAACCGCTGCCCCATTTGCTGCTGCTGCCGCTGCTGCTGCTGCTGTTGCCGCTGCTGCTGCTGTTGCAGAAGCGGGTTCGGCGGGGTCGACGGCGATCGCGCCACGCCGGTTACCGCCTGCAGCTCCGCTAAGAGCTGAAGCCTCGCTACTATATCTTGCACTGACGGGGATGGCGGGGTGCTCGGAGTCCCGGGGGTCCCAGGCGCAGCCAATGCCCCCAACGCCGCGGCAATCGCCGCCGCGTTCGTCCCGCCGCCCCTTCCCCCCGCTGCGCCTAACCCGCTCGTTCCGCCAGCCCTTCCGCTTCCGCGCCCCCCCCCGCCAAGCCCGCCGAGCGCGGCGGCGAGGCTGGCTAGTGACTGCCCCTGCTGGCCCCCCCGCGCGACACTGGCGATGAGCTGGTCTAAACCGGGGGAAGCGTTTCCGCCCATGGAGAAGGGGGACATGGGGGAGGTTGGCGTGCGCGCGGAAGCGTCCGCGGCGCGCAGATGCACCTGGAGGTTCATGGAGGAGATGGGGGAATGGGGGGAAGTCACTCCGCCGATGGCGGCATTGGAGGCGCCCGCACCGCCGAGAAGCGAGGTGAGTTCGTGTAACACGGATTGTATCTGCTGATCCTGGGGAGACGAGCGTTGCTGCTGCTGCGGCTGATGCTGCTGCTGCTGTTGTGGTGACTGTCGTTGCTGCTGTAGCAGCTGCTGCTCCGGCTGCCGGCGCTGCTGGTTCTGGTTCTGCTGATTTAGGTTCTGCTGGTTTCCCTGCTGCCGCTGGAGCTCTTGCAGCAGCTGCTGCAGCTGAAGCACGTCCTGAAGAACAGAATAAACGAGCAAATGGAAAGCGGGAAAAAAAATATAGTGAGTGAAACCACGAAAAAGAAGGAAAAATATATTGCAGCTGAAAAAACTTGCTAATAAATCTGGATCGGCATGCTTTTTGCATTGAACATGGAAATCGGAGGAGATTCGTGGAGCTTACTTGCGGCGTGCTTCCCATCGCGCTCCAGCTTATTCTGTTCTTCGACCGCTGTTGCGTTCTCTAGGTGCCACGAAAATCGGTTCTTCGGCTGCTATTCCCTTTCCTTAACGCCCTGAAAGTCGTTTCTTCGACAGTTGTTAGCGTTCTAAAGGCCGTCCTGGCAGCACGTTGGGTAACAGCGAGCTTCAACTTGGCTCTATTGGCCCCACGAGAGCTTTTCACTTGATCGAAATCTCTGAAGTCTCATTGCTGAATAATAAATACTGAAGTACTGGTATATGCTGCCTGGTGCAGAAACCTAGATGCTACGTGCTGCTACCAGCAACGAAGTGTTGCAATAACACGAAGGCTTCAGTGGAACGTAGAAGCGACACGGTTTCATGGTTGTTCCTTGGGACATGCACGGTGACATCTCATAGAGATTAGGAGACAGGACCGCGCTGAAACGCACTGGAACGCGGATAAGCATTGAATAACGGCACTGCGTGCTCCAAAACGTGGCGATGAGAGTAGCACGGCCTTAGTGACACGACGACTCGTGTGATCGTACGAAGGAAGTCATGCAAAGCTTCTGATTCCCGCACAACATTAATAAAGTATGGCTCAAAGACCGTCAGGCACGCTGCAATAAGCTTTCAGACCAGCCATACAGGTGAAAGTTGTACCAGCCTGACACTTCGTCACAGGTGAAAGTTGGTACTTATCAAACAACCATACAGTATATGCCTTGGGAATGGAGGCCGCTACGGGAAAGGCAAGTTCAGCAGAAATGTGGTTCAGCAGCAGCAGATGCATTTGCCGAACACCAATCCCGATGTTGGGCTTTCCCTGGAAAAAGTCCTGCTTTTTTGGGACCTTCGCACCACAGACAGACTGGTGAGAGTACTTCGCTTCAACAGTGAAGGGTTATTCTTAGGAGGGTTTGAATTAAGTGGAGTGCACAAATCATGGGCTAGGAAGTGGTGAAGCGTGTGTCCTTCACGCAAGTGGTGCTTCCTGAGCGGGTGTGCTGGTGTTGCCGTGCAATGAAGGAAAATATGAGAACTTAGGTCCACAGTTGGAGAAATCCTGGTTGAGGCTGGATGTTGCCCTTTTTTGAAGTAGAATGGTTTCTTGCCCACATAATTCAGGCTCTTTGGGTAATGGACCTGCCAGGGAGTTGGCCCGACCAATCCTCAACTGACACCGCAGCAATTTGGTGGTCTCGGCCAGCCGAGACAAGGAATGGGAGCTTTCTTGGGTGACTTGGTTTGGAACCACTGCGATTGGTCTGGAAGATCACCTAACCCATCAAACCACAAAACGCCTGTGGTGGTGAGGGAAGGCGCTGAGCTGATAAAATTGAGGAGACAGGTTGGAGAAGTGGGGCAACACGCAGTTTAGGGTGCTAATTTGGTGGACAAACAGATGTCGGGGATGGATAACTGAAAATAAATGTGCGGGCCACCCTTGGCGATGGAGAAAGCCCTTGAGAGTGTCGTTGACAGGAAGTTGTTCACGGTTGCCAAAGGACGTGTGGTTGGTTGCGACAATTCCAGCAGCGTTGACGCAGTGTCCCTGCTTTTCGTCAACGGACATGAACACAAGAGCTTTCGCCAAAGTGGAAGCATTTTCGTGTTCTGCAACCCCCACATAGAAGAACTTGTGGATGGTTTCCGGGCCTTCAACAAATAATTACTTACCGAAATTGATCAATCTTTGATTCTTACGGTTGCAGAACTTCAGAGATCGATTCCTGGCCTTCAACACAGCCTTCAGTGAAAAATGCATGCTTTAGGCCCACTTGGAGTGAGGCCCACATGGAGCAAGGCCCACATGGAGCAAGGCCCACATGGAGCAAGGCCCACATGGAGCAAGGCCCACATGGAGCAAGGCCCACATGAGCTGTTGCGTCTCTGAGCAGCATTGTAGTGACCTTCCCCACCTCCCCGACAGGCTTATGAAGGGGATTGCTGTGTACGTGGTGTGAAGGAAGTATTCTTCACAACTCTATGAAATGTAAGAGCCCAGGTTTTTTCACTTCCGAACAAGCAACTTGAATACTGCAGAATACAACCTTGCTTGAGAACTCGTAGGCAACAAGCACAAGTATTGCCCCCCTAGAGGGCATTATTACCCAGTATTGAACATTTATGGTAACATGTAATGCACAACAGTGTGGGAGCCTGGCACTTCAAATCTCTCCACAAAAGAGCTTTCCAAAAGGCAGCACTTCAGCAGCTCCACATCTTATTCCAAAAGATTGGAGTCACCTTGTGATCCTACCCTGTATAAAAGCTGATGCTTCTCACTCCCAACGTCTCAGATTTTATTACCCAATTTCCCCAATTACCTTGTCTTGTCCAGATCAAATTCAACCCATAACGATGTCATCGCCATCGCCGCCACAGCCCCAGAACAGCCCCATCAGATCTGCATCCATGCCAGCTCCACATACCTCATATGGTACTTCGGCCTCCTTCCCTCCTGCAGCTATCTCCCCTTCCTGACCTGAGGCCTCTCCCAGACGCGCATCCTTGTAATGCACCTCCCCCAGGTGCTGCGCCCCTGCCTGGCGCGGCTGCTGCGCTTTCCCCGGCTGCTGCTGCGCCCCCTGTTGCGCCTGCAGCGCCGGATGCCCCTGATGCTGCGCCTCCCCCAGACCCATGTCTCTCAGAGGAGCTTCCGCGGCTGCAGTCGCAGCCTCGAAAAAATCTTGCTGCCCGCCCAGGCAGCCCGAAAGCTCCTCAAAATCATCCAAGAACGTCCCGGAGAGGTCCCCCTCGCCCGCCTGGGGGGAGGACAGATCCGCAAGCGGGGCTGCGCCCTCGCTGCCTATAGTGTCTGCGGAAGCGGAAGCGGAAACGAGCTGCTCCGCTTCCGCGCCCCACTGGGGCTTGTCTTCCGCGGGTGACTCCATCACGGTTTGCGCGCAATCCGCGGTTTTCTGCGCCATTTCCATCACATTCCCCTTCTTCGGATCGCCTCGTCCCGCCAGCTGCCTGTTCTGATCCGTGCCCATCTGATGCGGCTGGAAAATCTGCTCTTCACGGACATACGGGCTTCTTGCCTTTGCTTTTCTCTCGTCCGCGTTAAGGAGATTCTCGATTTGCGTGATCTTGTTGAGAATCTTTGCAATATGCAGCAGCATCTGCGCGTAGTCCCCCTTCAGCAGCTCGTAATCGTTCCGCATCTCGCAGCACTGCTCCGCCAATCCCGCGTGCGCGGCGCGCGTCGTCCGCAGCTCCGCCTCCCCCTGCTCCGCCTGCCACTCCAGCTGCCGCGTCTGGAACCACGCGGAGACCTGACGGGGGAGAAGCCCCAGTTCCGCCGCGAGCTGCCACTGCCGCTCCGCGGACACGAGAACCTGCCCCGCCGCCTGCGCCTTCCCCACATGCGCGGATCCTTCCTGCGCCGCTACCGCAGCCCGAAACACCTCCTCAAGTCGCTGCACCTGTGAGGGCTGCGTGCGCTGGCGCTTGCGCAAATCTTCCGCTGGCGTTTCCACGGAGGCGCCCGTCGGCTGCGCGGAAAGCCGGGGGGTTTGCGGAACGCGGGAGGGGTTTACAGGGCTGCTGCAGGTGCTGTCGCTGTCGACCTCCTCGAGAAGCAGCGGAGACGGAGGGGGCGCAAGAGACGGGAGCGCGCGGGAGGCGGAGAGGCACTGCGCAGAGCGCAGCACTGAGCTGGGAGTCGGCGGGACGGCAAGGGGAAGGGCGAGCGCATCGTCGTTCTCGTCCCATGGAACCAGACGGCGCTTGAAAGCGCGCCGGGCGGAAGAAGGCGTCGGCGGAGTGTGCATTTCGGCGGAGGGGAGAGCGGAGAAAGCAGAGGGAGGAGCAGAGAGAGCGGAGAGGGGAGCGGAGAGAGCGGAAGGGGGAACGGAGAGAGAAGATATGGGGGCAGAGAGTGAGAAAGAGGGAGCGGAGAGAGAATAAGGGAGAGAAAACGCCGCGACTGCAAGAGCCTTATGGTCTGGGGTTCGAGCGGGGGAAGCACAATGCGAAGGGGTGGAGGGAGAATAGAAGACCTCGCCAGCCGGAGTGACGTCTCGCGGGCGCTTCGTGCCTCTCTCCGTCGTCGCAGGGGCGGTTGCCCTCGCGACTGCGCCAGCGCCGCCTGCGGCGGCGGTGGCGGAGAATTTTGCGATATCTAACATCGGCGAAGTGGTGGCTGCCGCCATGTCGCAACGACCGACTAACTATATGCGATTCAATGCAAAAAGCTTGTCGACTACCTCTGTTGAAAATTTTCAACAAGGCCGGTTACACCTTCTGGGATTGGAATATTCCACCTTTTCTCCCTAGATTCATCTCGTGAAACATCTCACTCATTCACAGATTTGAACAGGCGACCATCAAGAACGAGCAACTTGGGAAGTTGCCTCAACGACCTCAGTCCTGAGATTTCAACGCAAGAGCTGATGAAGATTTGAAGCACTGAGCTTTTATGCCTCTTTGGTGGGTTGGGTTGGGTGCACTTGTTATCTGGTGTTAGGAAATTGGGATCTGTGGGAGAGGGGCAGGTTGGGATGGAAAATGCTTGGAGGGGCAGTTTGGCAGGCTGGGCAAAGATGACGCTTCGGGAAGATACAGCTTCCGCGAATCAGAATCCGCACGCAGGTACGGATGGTGGGCTTGGTACTGGGGACAAGCCTCGGTTGAGGTTTGAGATGGATCCTTGAGGGAAACAAAACATTCCACAACAGAGAGAGAGCCCCTGCCCTTGTCTAGTTGTGTTCGCTCTGCCCACGAAGCACTACCTGGGATTCGGCCTGCGCGGCGAGCTTGGCCTTCCCGAGGTTGCGCTTCTGTTGGTGGCGGGTGACATGCCGGCTCTGAGTCATGTGCGCGGCAGGTGATCAGGGAAAAGCACGACAGGTGAGTTGGCTTTTTCGATTTCTCCAGCAACGAAACTAGGCGAAACGGGCCTTTTGGATCGAGGAAACGTACGCTTGTGGAAACCTTGTCATCAATTAGAAGTATAAGTAATTTCATCATCGACAAACAAACAAAAACATATCGTCGCAGCTGAAAAATGGTAACCACACGAAATCCATCATACCGCACGTTGCGGCCAGGGAGGGAAAATAAGAGAACAAGGAAGCCATGGGGACAGGTCGGACCCGTCAAATGCGACACCTGCCAAGAAACCAGCTGGGTCGGCTCTGCGCAGCTTGCGGAAGGGGTCCGCCCGCATGCCAGAGTCGATGTGTTTGTGGTTCGGCGATAGGCTCGAAAAATATCAAGAATCACGAATCAGGTACGGAAGGCTAAGGTGTGGGTTGATGTCGTCATAGCATCCCATCTCTGACATATTGTGCATGAGCCATTCCCCATTGGTCCGCAAAACTTACAATCTGGAACCCGCGCTTCCACGACAACGAGGCGAAGCACAATTCAAGGAAGAGAGGAAAAGTGAGTTGCTTCTTGAAGATAATTGTCTTAAACTCGAATCACAACATGCCATCTGGGTAAGGCTATATGGAGTATACTAGCACTCTATGATATGCGCCTTCTAATACATGTACAGTACACTCCAAACATATGCGGCCTTGCGATTGTAGATTCTCCCCCATATAGTTTGACGTGGAAAGGTAATCCATGCACGTGGATGTTCGCCAGTAGGACGCGCCACATCAGACATATAAAGATCACGATTCACAACACTCGTGAAACATCAGTCTGGAATACAGTGCTATGCGACGGAAGCAAGCCATGAAACTTTCGTTACTAAGAGTTCATAATCCGACTAGATGAACGGTTTGTCTACATTCTCGAGCTGTTGAACGAGGTTCCTAGCCACATGTACTCTTGGCTGCACAATTCTGATTCGGCAGCAGCTCAGTGGTTTTAGCTCGCAAAACCCTAGGCTGGCCATTTGCACTCTCCTGGTCAACTAAGTGTCTCGTCCTCTTTTATCATTTTATTCCTGCTCGCCATTCCCACTCCCCACCCTAGGTTGGCCATTGACGGCTTGGTATTTTCTTCGGTTCTTACTGTTGTGTTCTGAAATTAGGTCGCGTCGTCGCTCGTGCTCCTGTCGGGTTTGCCATACGTTCGAGCCTAAACACGCTATCGTGAAACACATTCCAGGCGCGAGCGAAGATGGTCAGGCGTATCACAGCGTCCCACGTGTCCGATTTTTCCAATTTAGACGGAAAAGATGGCCCAGGCTTCGCACTGACTCTTCCAGGATTCGATCCCGCGTATTTCTCCTCCTCCCTTCACAATGCCGTCGATCATCAGAAGCAGCGCTTCAACCGGTTCGTCAAGGTACAATGGGGGAAGGTTCAACTGCGTCAGAAAACGACAATTGCAGCGCAACTAGAAAGCTCTCAGCCTGCTGTGCATTGGCCAATCAGAAGGCGAGGATCGACCCGCAGCGCAGTCGGTACCGTCCAATTCGTTTCCAGTCCCCCTTTCGCCGCTGTCGCTGCCGACTCGCTAAAAGCACCCGCGGAGAAAAAAGACGGAGGCGCTTCGTCAGCGGGATCAGCGGCGGCGGATGCGGCGGGTAATGCGGTGAAGCCGACGCTGGCGCAGTACCTGCGTAAGCCCATCGCGCTGTTCAGCTTCATCCCGAAAGACGCGGCGCTGTTCTTCGCCGGCGCCGTCGCTGGCGGCACGGCCAAGACGGTGACGGCACCGCTTGACCGCTGGAAGCTCATGCTGCAGGTAAGAGGAAGAAAGGGGGAAGGGGGGTCGGGGGGGAGCGTGGGGGGAAGGGGGGGGAGGGATCGGAGGGGAGGGCCCGGGGAGGGAGGGAGTGGGGGGGGGGGCTGTGCGGGGGGTGGAGAGAGGTGGAAGGAAGAGTGGAAGGTACGATTATGAAGCTCGTGCCTCCGGTATCTGGTGAACATTAAGGGGGTGGGTAAAGCTGAAAGATGATTAAGATTAAAGGCTTATCGCTGCGCGAAGCGCCGCAGGTATCGCATCGCTGGACGCTCATGCTAGCAGAGCAAGTTGAGGTGCTTTATTGCCCACAGCCTAACTGGAATTACATGAAATTAAGAACCACCAATATTCACTGCCCGCGGTGAAGGGTCTTCATTGATATTTACTGCCCGCCGGTGCCTCAAGTCGCCGCGACCCGTCTTCACCAGTCAGTGACCACCGAATGAACCCCGCTATAAGCATACCCCGCTACCCTGCAATGCGCCTCCCCCAAACCTTTAACCCCTCCCCTCCCCTCCCCTCCCCTCCACCCCCCCACAACCACCCTTATCCCTCTTCCTCTCCGCAATCTCCTTTGTCCAGACCACAATCCCTCCTTTCTCCGCGTCCCGCCCGCGTGTGTGTCTCGCACGTGCGCAGCGTGCAGATGCCTCAAGGTGTCGCCGACCTTCCAACATTTCTTAACACTTTCTCCCTACCCTCTCCCCCACTCCCTGCCCCTCCCTCCCCCCCCCCCCTCCTCCCCCCGCTCCCCACCTCCCCCCGCGTGTGTGTCTCGCAGGTGCGCAGCGTGCAGATGCCTCAGGGCGTCGCCGCCAAGCCGGTCGGGCTGCTGGACGTGAGTGTGCACGCGCGTTGCCTTCGCACGGTTTCGCCTAGATTTGCGGATGTTTTCACATACAATTCGCCTTTCTTCGTTCAACGCGTTGTCGGAAATTCACTGACGTCCTAAAATCGTTTTTTTTTTTTTTTTTTTTTCATCTCTCTTTTCCTCCGCAAACTCCATCGCGACAGTAGGAAATTCTTCCCTTTTTTTTTGTTGCTTTATTGTTTTGCGCGAGCAGTCGTTTCTAGCGATCGGGCAGAAGGAGGGCGTGCTGGGCTACTGGAAGGGTAACTTGCCGCAGGTGCGTCGCCTGGGTGGTCACTGGGGTAGGTAATATCTAGGTCGTCTGTGTCTGTCTGACTCTGTGCGTGTGTGTGTGTGTGCAGACATAACTCGATAAAGTCATTTGTGTGCGTACATAACCTGATTTGATTATTTCAGTGTTTTCAGCGTGCACATATATTTTTTGTAACTTTCAGTGTTTTCTTGCGTTCCCCCCTAACACATTGCGTTGTCCCCCTATGGTCCCATCTCTTCAGGTCATCCGTATCATTCCCTACAGTGCAGTTCAGCTCTTCGCGTATGAAATGTACAAGGTACTTTTCATCTTCGTTTCATTCCACAGTATGCAACTGCGTTTGTCATGAGAGCTTGTTGCCTGTAATAACTCGGAACTGCTGAAGCTCGTTGTTTGTCTGTTTGTAACCTTTTTCTTTGTTCTTCCCCATTCTGTCCGTCTTCATGCGCTTATAACGGGTATGGGGTGGAGCAGAAGGCATTCTTGGGCAAGGACGGGGAGCTCTCGGTGCCTGCCAGGCTGGCAGCTGGCGCATGTGCTGGCATGACGTCAACACTGGTACGTGTGTGCTGGCATGCCGCCAAAGATTGGTATGAACCGTATGTGCATGCAATGACATCCTGACATACAATGTCCCTAAGTGACGAAATACGCTTTTGCCTTTAAGCGTATAGCGTTTATCCGCTTGCGTATACTCGCAAAACGCTATACGCTAGCAAATACGCTATACGCTCGGGAGTTTTTTTCTGGGCAGCCCAAGGTGAAAATTTTCGGGAATTTATAGAAATCTGCCGTTATTCACGGCGATCATTTCGCTGTGGTCGCAATGCTCATCGGAGATCTAGGGTAGCAGGAATGTCACTTTAATGTTTGGATTCAAATTGGAGTTGCAATTTCGAATCATCGGAGATCTAGGGTAGCGGGAATGTCACGCGTATATACGCTATATGCATGCAATGACATCCTGACATACAATGTCCCTAACCCATCCCCTCCCTTCCCCTCTCCCCCTTCCATCCCCCATCTCCCCCCCTCCCACCCTGCCTCCAGATCACCTACCCCCTGGACGTGCTTCGTTTGCGTCTGGCGGTGGATCCGGCGTCAAGGGGAATGCGCTCGGTGGCGATGGGCATGATCCGCGAGGAGGGCATGCTGTCGTTCTACAAGGGCCTCGCTCCCTCCCTCATCTCCATCGCGCCCTACATCGCTCTCAACTTCTGCGCGTTTGACCTGTGAGTCCCTCCCTTCCCATATGTGACTGTGAGCTCTGAAGCCTATGTGTCAGCAACGTGTGAGTAAATTCTGATGACGCTTGTTCCCTCATATGCAGCTCATCCCAGCTCCATCCATCACTCCCCTTCCACCCCCTCCCTTCCCTAGTGCTCATCCGAGGATGTGGTGTCGTTTGCTTGCACTGCCCCTCACCACGTCCTGAACCTGAACGCCTCCTCCTCGCCCCTTTCCACCCGTCCCTCCCCCTCTCTCCTTCTGCCTTTCATTCCACTCCCCCCACCTATGCAGCATCAAGCGCTCGATCCCTGAGAAGTACCGCAAGACCCCGCAGGCCTCCTTTGTGACCGCCCTCTGTGCCACCACCTTTGCAACGGTGATGTGCTACCCACTGGACACGGTGCGGCGGCAGATGCAGATGAAGGGGTCGCCCTTCTCCTCGGTGTTTGACGCCATCCCTGGCATCATTGCAAGGGATGGCGTGGTGGGGCTGTACCGGGGCTTCATTGCCAATGCCCTCAAGAACCTTCCTAACAGCAGGTGAGAACCTCCCTAGCCACAGGTGGGTGGCTGGTTGCTTGCTTGTGCTGCTGCTGAGAGGGTGCCACACCACCCCCTCTGCATGAAGGGGTCGCCCTTCTCCTCCGTGTTTGACACCATTCCCGGCATCATTGCAAGGGATGGAGTGGTCGGGCTGTACCGCGGCTTCATTGCCAACGCCCTCAAGAACCTTCCTAACATTAGGTGGGGAAGTACTTGCTTCTGCTTCTGCTGCTGCTGATTTTCGTGAAATATGTTTCCTTCGTTGGGTTTGCCAACTTGTTTCAATTTTGCGTATGCCTTGGTAGTTTTGTTGTGTTTGTCTGTGGCCCCTTTTTGTTCCTGATCTGTTTTGGTTTTGTTATCCCCTGATCTCCATGTTTCTCGCTGTGGCTGGCAGCATTCGTCTGACAACGTATGACACTGTGAAGCAACTGATTGCATCAAGCCGTGATGAATACACTAAGCTTGTGAAGGAAAGGGAGGCCCAGATCGGTGCGCACTGATGGTTTTTTTTTTATTGTTTACAAAAATATTAATTAACCCCCTCGTTGGCAGTTGCCTTACAAACGTGTTTAGAGTAGCATTTGAAATTCCTTTCTGTTGTGCTAGTGTAGATGAGTATTGATAACACACTCTTGTACGACAGCATTTCTGAAATGGGCAGAAGCCTTGACAACCGGGACTGATTCGTCTGAACGACTTCAGCCGCTCTCGGCCGCACACTGTGCAGCAGTAGTCAACCAATCAGATCTTGTATTCCCAGCTTTTCCCAATGCCCGAATCGCTAGTGAAGTCACTGTTGATACCGTACAGAGTGCTTTCACTCTGCTAGAAATGAAACGTTACTGTGTAGAGCTTGCACCGCTCGAGCTTCGGAAAGTTCCGTGGCTGCAAAAAGGTAAGGATGACGAAAGCGAGGTGATGACGTGGCATCTTCGCAGCCTCGATGCTCTCTGCCTTTCTCGAGGTGGACAGGTGTGGCAAAGGTCTCCCTTTTCAGGGAACACGGATACGCTTAGCGGATGGTATGATAACGAGCATTATTGACCAGCCTCAGACACTTCAACGGTTGGAAAGGGGAATTTCTGAGAATTCAAATCACATTTCCCAAAACCAGTGGGGGGCTTTTGTTCTGCAAACGAAGGGCTGAAAACAAAATTGAGTTGGGTGCGGAGGAGTAGCCAAGGCCGTTCATGAGAAACCCCAGGCGAAGTCTGTTACCTCGAGCTTGTCGAAAGCCTTTTCTGCTGCACTAAATAAAGCTGCTACTGCTGATTATGAACCGCCTGCAGCTGCCTTCGCAAGAAGGGCTCTTTCCATAGGCTCCTCTTCTTCCTTGTTCTGCAAATGCCCCTGCTATTGTGTTGCTGCTGCCGATGTGCTGTCCCTGTCATTGGGTTGGTACCATCGAGTTACAGCCAAATTTGAACAGCCGACGTACCGCTCCGAATAGGTGCCTTTCCAGGTTCCAGAATCTCCATAACATCCTTCACTTACGTCTACTTCAGGGTATAGGACCCACCGATTACTGGTTACCCTCTTTCTACAAAACAGCGTTGGCTCCCTAGCTTGCTCCAATTGCAATTCGGGTTGGGTTATCTCCATCGTGCTCTCAGAATCCTAAAGCTCAACCTTCCGATATTACGCACTCATCATTCTAAAGCGCAACCGTACAATCCGATAGTGTCACGCTCCTCTTCCAGTGTCAGTAGCTTGGAAATCTCGGTCACGAGCAGCCTAATTTGTGTGCTACGACACCTGTCCTGACACGCGTTGTTATTTTTCAAGAACCGTTTTCCGGTCGGTTTTTCAAAAGCCTCATTAAGGCGAACCTCCGCCTTGCACTCAGCCTTGCGAAGACGATGATGCTAGAGCTTTAAAACCCGGCGTGGGCCTTTGTGCTTTATAACTCCTTACGTCACGAGGAGCTCCTTATCAGCCAGAGCTCCTATTCAGTCAGAGATCTTATCAGTCACAGCTCCTATCGGTCAGAGCACCTTATCAGCCAAATATACTCATCAGTCAGAGCATCTTTTCAGCCAAAGCTGCTTATCATTCCCAAGTCATCATTTACAGGTACCTGTCAGCCAAAGCCCCTTATCAGCCAACGTTTTGATAACAACTCCTTATCGTTCGGAGCTCGTTGTCGCACAGGGCTCCTCATTGTTCAGCGCGTGAGCTCTGTATCTCTTAGAACACATTCTTGAAGTTTCTTCCTTTGCCATGGCTGACTCGGCGAAAGCGGATTTCCTCCAAGGGGAGTTTGACGACGCCATATTCTCCATGACAGACTTTGAGGTGCGGCCGTTATAATCACAAATTGCTGCCATGTTTAGTATGTGGAGAGTAAAATTAGCGGTATCAGCTGTCTCGTTCCTCCCGCCTCACTTTCGCCATCTCGCCTTGTCCAATTCGTCACCCCCATCTCGTTCTTCCGTCTCCCTCGTTCGTCCTGGCATGGGAGGTACGCGTTGTCCTACCTGGTCTCGTGTCTTTCGTTTTTCCCTGGCTACTGTATCGTCGCCTTCATCACACACACTCCGTGACGTGCCTTCAAGTATTGCCGCTTTTCTTGGCTCTTATACGCTTTTTCCATGTTTTCCTTCCTATCCACCTCCCCATCCAACCCGCCATGCACGGCAGAGCATCACATTCGATGCTATGGGCGACATGGGCTTAGCAGACGACGGTCTCGCCGCCATGAGCGCCGCATTAAGTGTTGCCATCCCTCCTTGGTTCTTGATGCTCTTGGCACTCCCCATCCAACCCCCATCCAACCCCCATCCACTCCCCATCCACGGCAGAGCATCACGTTCGACGCCATGGGCGACATGGGCTTAGCAGACGACGGTCTCGCCGCCATGAGCGCTGCATTGAACGGGCTGTCCGCCACCACCGCCGGTGCTACAAACGCGGCTGTATCCGGTGGAACGGGTATGCCTGTGCTGCCAGACGCCGTCCACGCGCCCAGCCAGCACGAGCCGTGCAGTAACGACATGGTCTTCAAGTCCTATGCGCATGCCAGTGCGCATGTCAGTGACGCCCGCGTTGGCCTCCAACCCGTGCCTGTGGGTGCTGCTGGTGATTCTGGTGATGCTGGTGCTGGTGCTGGTGCTGGTGCTGTTCCTGCTGCGGCTGGTGGTTCTGCTGATGGTGCGTCTGAAGCTGCTGCTGCTTCTCCGGGTGGTGCCGTTTCCAGAGGTACTGGAGCTGGTTCGGTGAATTTGGCATTTCCAGGTTCAGGGCCAGGTTCGGTGGCAGGTGCAGGAACCTGTAACGCGGGTGGTGGTGGTGACACATGCTCTGGTATGTGTGTACCCGGCAGGGAGAACAAAGGGGAGGCGCTTGGGGAGAGGACAACAGGGGAGGTCAAGGCGCGAACTTCTTCAAAACTAAAACGGGTCTTTGAACCTGCCTATATGGAGGACGGTGACGGGGCTGGGTATGAAGGTGTTAATACTATGAGCGCTGGTAACCACATGAATGTTACAGTAACAGTGGAGCAGCAAGGGGGGAGGGTGGAAGGAGTGTGCGTGGCAGGCGCTGCTGCTGCCAAGTCATCACCTCAAGGTTCCAATGACAGCCACACAATGAGCTCGTCTCCTCCTTCGGCCTGCAAGCCACTGCCCTCTCAGGCTCACGGCCTTACACAGCCTCACAACCACCACCAACAACAGCAGCACCACCAGCAACAGCACCAACACCATCAGCAGCAGCAGAAGCAGCAGCAACAGCAGCAGCTGCTGCAGCTGCAGCAATACCACCGTCACCAGCAGCAACTGCAGACGCAGCAGCAGCAGCAGCAGCAGCATGTTTCGTCCTCTGGCATGTCTGCCTCAGCATCTGCTTCTGCTGGTCAAGTCCAGAACGGAGCGGGGGTGGTGAGCCCGTCAGTCTCCCACAGCAGCAGGCACGGCAAGCAAGCGGCAGCAGCAACAGCACCACAGCAGCAGCAGCAGCAGCAGGCGATGTCCCAGCAGCAATTAATATCGCAGCGGCAATCCATGACCCAGCAGCAAGTAATGTCTCAGCAGCAGCAGCAGCAGCAGCAGCAGCAGCAGCAGCAGCAGCAGCAGGAGGCAGCGGCACAGCATCAAGCCATGGCCAGGCATGCGTTTCAGATGGCATCTTGGCAGGGGCACATGGCAGGAGCGGGACAAGGGCACATGCATGCTGCCATCAATCAGTCGATGAAACAAGAGCAATTCGAGGTGCAACAAGGGGTCGGCGGAGGAGTAGGAGCAGGTGATGCATCAGGAGCAGCAGGTATTGGTAGCAGCATAGGAACAGCAGCAATGACATCTCACCTAGTGCCAACCGCAACCACCACCACAAGCGCCGCCACTGGCACCACTCTCCCCGCCCTCCGTCCCATCATGCCCCCTTCCTTGCGCGGCCTGCCCAACCTCCCAGGCCTGCCGCCGCCCTTTGTCTTTCCCCCTGGCATGCTCCCTGGAAACGCCTCTGGCGCTGCCTTGCCACGCCCCCTTGCAGTGGGGAGCGTGGGAAGCATGGGGGGAATGGGGGGCATGGGGAGCATGGGGGGGATGGGTGCCATGGGGGGCATGGGTAGCATGGGGGGGATGGGGGGCATGGGGGCGGGGGGTGTGGGCGCTGGTTTGTCTTCCCTCCCTGGTTTACCGGCGCTTCCAGTTGGCATTGCACGCCCTTCAAGAACAGCTGCACCTGTTGGCCGAACTGCTGCTGCTGCTGTAGGTGCTTCTGGTGCGGCTGTTGGTGCTGCTGATGGTGGTGGTGTAAGTGCTGTGAGTGCAGCAGGGAGAACTAGTCCCGTTGCTGCGACAGGTTCGGCAACAGCAATGGAAGCAACAACAGCGAAAGCAGTCTCGTCTGTAGCAGCAGCAGCAGCAGCAGGAGCAGGAGCAGCAGGAGGAACAGGACTAGCAGGAGTAGGGGCTATCAGCAGCAGGGCTGGAAGCTTTGTGAAGACTGAAGGGTTCGAAGGGGATGCAGAGTTATGCAGCCACAAAATGGTTAGATCAGGATCCATCGGAGGGGGTACAAGAGTAGGAGCAGCCGGAGGAGCAGGCAGAGCAGCAGGCCATTATAATAAACCATCCGTGGGAATCAGGCGAGGAGTGAGCTTGCACGAGGGGCTATCCAACATGCGCTCCTTGCCCCCTGGTTCTCCCGCAGTGGTTCTTTCTCCAGGCGGAATCATGCTGCAATCTCTGGCGTCACCAGCTCCGAACGCGCCCTCGCAGTCATCAGGAGCGCCCTCTCCTCGCGCCGCCCTGCCATGCTCACCTCGTTCCCCCTTCCCCCCCTCGCCTCGATCAGCTTTGCCCGCCCCATCGTTCAGAGCTGTGGGTTCGGGGTCGGGGGGAGTGGGAGGACTGGGTAGGGCCATGCCTACCTCCCCCTCGGTTGCCTCTGTGCCTGCTGCTACCGGCTCTTCTGCTGCCAGTGCTGCTGCCGCTGCTGCTATGGCTGCTTCTGCTGCCGCTGCTGCGGCTGCTTCTGCCGGCCCGTATGCTAAAATGCGCCGAGTTGCCTCTGCTGGACAGCTGTCGCATTCCCATTGGCCGGCTCCTGCAGCAGCAGCGGGCGGGCACATGGATGCGCACGCGCACATGAGGCAGAGGCTAGGGGCGGAGATGGGGGGATGGGGGGCGGGAGGGGGAGGGGGAGGGGGGGCAGTGGGGGGAGCTACTCAATCTGCCGGTTTTGCCACTCCTGGTGCTGCTGCGCGTAATACCACTCCTACACCCGGGGTTGCTGCTTCAGGTGCTTCCAGTACCTCTGCTGCTGCTTATGCTGCGGCTACTGCTGCTGCCGCCACTGCTGCTGCCAATGCCAGTGGTACTGCGTCTGCCACGGCTCCTATATCTGCTGCTGCGGCAGCGGCAAGGCAGGGCACAGCAGCAGCAGGGACAGGGCGGGTAGCAGGGGCTGTGGCAGGGATGGCCAATGGGTGTGTGGGGGGGACTCATAGTGGCGAGGGCAGCACAGGGGAGCAAGGGGAGGAGGCACAGGGCCGAGGGGCAGAGAGATTTGGGGGGTTAGGCGATGTAAGAAATAGAGGCAAGGCAGGAGGAGGGGCAGGAGCTGGGAGGGACGGAGCAGGAGGAGGAGGTACAAGCGGTGTAGGGGTCTCTGGGAAAGGGGCCGATGGGGCAGAAAGCACACGTCGCGTTGCAGGGAACCCTATTATGCATGTGGGTAGCCATGGCGATGGGGATGGGGATGGTAACCACAGCAATGGCGAAAGTGGCGAAGGGGACACTGGGGATGGCGAGGATGGTGAGGAGGACGAGCTGAAACCCCTCCCATCCCCCATCCTGCGTGCCCGGCGAGCCATGGGCATGGGCGCAGGAATGGGCATGGGGGCAGGCATGGGTATGGGCATGCACATGGGTATGGGCATGCACATGGGTATGGGCATGCACATGGGTATGGGTATGGGGATGAGCATGCAGAGGAGCTTCAGCAGCCATGCGTTGGGTCAGCTGCACATGCAGCACATGCCAGGCCTCCCGCCGCTCCCCCCGGCAGCAGCAGCGGCGCATTTGGCAGGGCAGCATATGCCTGTGGGCATGGAGGGGGGTGTCATGGGCATGGGCGAGGGGCTAGTTGGGGGAGGGGGAGGCGCAGGTGGGATGATGGGGGGGATGGGGTCGCGAAATGCTTCTACGGGTGGGGCTGCTGCTGGTGCGACTGCTGCTGCTGGTGCAGGCTCGTATGGCACTGGTGCTGCCAGTGCCAGTGCTGCTGCCGCTGGCACTGCTGGTGCTGCTGTTGGCATGACTGTGGTAGGGGAGGGTATGATAGCAGAGGCTGCAGGAGCTGGAACGTCAGCATCAGCAGCAGCGGCAACGGCACCAGCAACCACCGCAGCAGCAGCGGCGGCGGCAGCAGCAGGCCTTGCAGGAGGCGGAGGGTTTGGAGGGACGCATTTTGCAGGCATGGGGGGAGGCATGAGCGGCGTTGGAGGCATGGGAGGCAGCATGGGGGCTCCGATGCTGCCGTCGTTCAGCAATATGAGACGAGCTCACAGCACAGGAGACATCCAGGTTGGTACCAGTGAAAGTTCTCATTCATCCTCTCCTGCATTATTTTTCACTCAAGCATCCTCCAAACCCACCCCCATCCCAACCCACCCAACCCCTCCCTCCCATCCACCACCACCCCTTCCTTTTCTTAGTTCTTGGCTGCTATATGTTCTCTAGCCATGGGTTTCGGCCGCCTCTCATCTCCCCCTGACACTCTTCCATCTCAACTCCTTGCTTCACTTATTATTTAATCCCCCCTCCCCACCCTCCCCCTTCCTCACTCCCCTCCAACACACCAGTCCCTGGCTGCAATGCGTTCTCTAGCCATGGGTTTCGGCCACCTCCCAGCAACACCTGGAGCGGCAGGAGCAACAGGAATGAGCCCCTTTGATGACCGTACTGGCATGGGCATGGGCATGGGGATGGGCATGGGTATGGGTTTGGGTATGGGTATGGGGGGCATGGGAACGGGCATGGGCATGGGGATGGGCATGGGGGTGTTTCGTATCGGGCGGTATACTTTGGAGGAGCGGCGGCTTCGGATAATGAAGTACCGGCAGAAGAGACACGAAAGAAACTTCACCAAGAAGATCAAGGTGGGTTGCAGACAAATTGATGATGCATAATCTCCCAACTGCCCTGCTCTTCTGCACCAGCATCAGCCAGAAAATAAGAAAGTAAAAAGTTTTTCTTTCCATTCAGTATATCCTTCGCTGTAGTATCCCCCCTTCCCGTTCTCATCAACTCAAGCCCTTCAGCAGCCAGTGGTTTCCTCTTTAACAAAACCCTCCCCTCTTTTCTGCAACTCATCATGTCTGCCCTTCCCCGGTCTTCTGCCACTTGCCTTTCCCCCGTTCTTTCATCTGTTCGTGCATTGGTGGCAACACGGCATGCACATGAGCAGTATGCGTGTCGGAAGAACCTGGCGGACAGTCGGCCACGCGTGAGAGGAAGATTTGCACGCAACGATGAGATTGAGGAGGTGAGGCGCTGCGTGTGGTTTTCAGGTGGCTCTTGAATTGTTGCAGAGGTGATTAAGTTTGAAATGCTATTGCTTTCAGGTTGTTTTCCCACTTTTTGTGTGTCCTTTTCCATAATAACCACCGTCTTTCTAAAATTTCTGTAAGGGTTTCGCACGCTCCTCTCATCTTTCTTTCCCGTCCTTCACCCCCACCCACCCTCGCCCCAAGCAGCATGAGCAACAGGACAAGGACAGTCACAGTGGGGATGGTGCTGATGCTGACGGTGCATGTGCTGATGCTGACGTGGACATCTCAGGTCCACATGGCACGTCATCGCATGGCATATTGCCCACATCGCATGCTGATATGTTTTCCGCAGAGGACTTTTCTGACATGCTTTTGGATGGCCCCTTCGGGTCCGATGTTTTCTTTGACATTGACCCTCCTGCTGGTCGTAGCAGCACTTGAGTAGGGAACTCTCTCTATGAGCAGGGGTGCTGCTTCTAGTGTCAAAATGTTATAATGCTTATATTGTGTAGGCTGCAGTGGGGTAACCCAAAGGGGTACAACCCAATTAGGGTTACTATCATCGCCCGGATAGTAGACTGTTGAATAATAGACACGGGTTGTCTATTATCCGGGTGTCTCTTATAAACAGGTTAACCTCATTATAAGACACCCATTTATGTGTACGAGATAAGACATACTGTATCACCCCGGATATAAGCGCTGGCCTATTAAAAGCGCATGCGCTTATATCCGGAGCAATGCGCTTATGGCCGATCCTCAATTATAAGCGCACCCCCTGTAAAAGCCTGTTTTATTATAAGTGCATGCATAATTTTTGATTTAAAACCTGCTAAACACAGTAACGAGTTTCACAATTGAAGCGAGCCTAATTTCTTAATCGCTTCGCTTGACTCGCGAAGACCTCAGAAGCTGCGCGTCAGGTCAAGATTGTCAGAATGTTATAGTGCTTACATTTGTGTAGGCTATAGTGGGGTAGCCTATAAGGGGAACCCAATTAGGGTTAATACTTGTACCCAACTTCTGTTCAATGCATTCATTCTTGTTCGTTAATTCTTGACATGGTTTTAGAGCAGGTCCTCCGTTAGGACCGAAGTTTTTTTTTTTTGGCCCACCACTGAGCTGCCCCGCTTGCGACCCTCGTGCCGCCCCTGCTACTCCGCGCGCCGCCCTCGTGCGGCCTGCACGATGACCCCTAGCCCCGGCCCGTCGCCCCCTAGGCCCGGCCCGTCGCCCGTCGCTCCTAGGACCCGACCCGTCGCCCCTGGCCCCGCGGCCCGTCGCCCGTCGCCTCCCCCCCCTAGGCCCGGCCCGTAGCCCGTCGCCCCTGGCCTCGCGGCCCGTCGCCCCTAACCTAGGCCCAGCCCATCGACCGCAGCCCGTCGCCCCTAGGCCCCGCGGCCCGTCGCCCCTAGCCCCCCGGCCCGTCGCTCCTAGCCCCGCGGCCCGTCGCTCCTGGCCCCACGGCCCGTCGCCCCTAGGCCCCCGGCCCGTCGCCCCTAGGCCCCGTGGCCCGTCGCCCCTAGGCCCCCGGCCCGTCACTCCCGGCCCTGCGGCCCGTCACTCCTGGCCCCGCGGCCCGTCGCCCCTAGGCCCGCGGCCCGTCGCCCCTACGCCCCGACCCGTCGCTCCTGGCCCCGCGGCCCGTCGCTCTTGGCCCCGCGGCCCGTCGCCCCTAGGCCCCGCGGCCCGTCACCCCTAGGCTCCAGGCCCGTCGCTCCCGGCCCCGCGGCCCGTCGCTCCTGGCCCCGCGGCCCGTCGCCCCTAGGCCCCGTGGCCCGTCGCCCTTCGGCCCCCGGCCCGTCGCTCCCGGCCCCGCGGCCCGTCGCTCCTGGCCCCGCGGCCCGTCCCCCCTAGCCCCGGCCCGTAGCCCCTGGCCCCGCGGCCTAACGCCCCTAGGCCCCGACCCGTCGCCCCTAGGCCCCGGCCTGTCGCCCCTGGCCCCGACACGTTGCCCCACGGCCGCCCCTCGGCCCTCGAGCCGCCCCTCCTGCAGCCTGCAGCATGCCCTGTTCCTCGCGCTGCCCGGCCTCAGCCCGCCCTACGTGCTGCGCCGCTATGGCTTCCTCTCCGCGTACTAGCGTTCGATCATGAGGGGCGCCTGATCCAGTTTGACACGTGGCTCGACGACCTGCAGCTGTACCTACTGAGCGACTCTAGGGACAGTGTTTCATTGTTTGACCACACGTCTGGCGCCGCTCCCGCCCCTCCCGCCACAGCTGACAGTGCGACCTGCTCACAGTGGCTTACTCGTGACACTGCTGCTCGCTTAGCCATTCGCAACCACCTGCCGTTAGCCGGATGCGCTCACTTCTGACAGCACATGACAGCACAGGCACTGTACGGCGCTGTCGTCGCTCGCTACTCCTCGCCTGCCACTTCTGCTCTAGGCCGCCTGCTACTGCCCTACCTGTTCCCCGAGCTGTCCGCCTTTGCCACAGTCAAGGACCTGGTTTCCCACCTTCGCGCTAACGACGCTCGCTACCGAGCTGCCGCCCCTGCTGAGTTCCTTGACAGGAACCAGCCCCCGATGTTCATCACTCTCTACTTTATAGTCACCCGCCTCCCTGACTCTCTTCGCTCTGTCAGGGACCACTTTCTCTCACTTGACCCCACAGTCCTCACTATTGACCTACTCGAGCAGCAACTCCTTGCAGCTGAGACTAGTATAATCGCTGTAGGTGCTGGTCGTGGCACTCCGCGCACGCCCTTCTTTGAGGGGTGCTCCCCCTCCCCCCTTGCCCCCTCCTATGCCTCTGCTACTGCTATTGATGTCCTTGGTACTGAGGATGTCGGGGCTGCTTCTGCTAGTGTGAAGCGCCGCAGCAGCAAGGGCAAGGGTGGTAGGGGTGGTGGAGGGGGCAGCGGGAGTGGTGGTGGGGGCAACAGTGGAGGTAGTGGAGGCAGTGGAGGTGGTGGCAGCGGTGGGAGTGGTGGCGGGAGTGGGGGCGTTGGTGGAGGCGGTGGAGGCAGCGGTGAGAGTGGCGGTAGTGGTAGCGGTGGCAGCGGTGGTGGTAGGACTGGAGCTCAGCGTGGAGGTTCTGGAGGTGGCCAGAGGCAGCGGCAGCAGCGTCGGAGCGAGACTCCGTCGCCCCAGCAGCTTCGTGAGTGGTTGTTTCAGCGTGGGGCGTCTGGGGGTAGTGTGAGCTGCCCGTATGTCATTCGCACAGGTGACCGCGCTGGTCAGACATGCGGGAAGCCTCACACTCAGCACCGCTGCTTCTCCCGCCTTGACGACGCTTGGGGCGCAGAGTCTGGCGACAAGGCTAAGCGCCCCCGCTGGCTAGAGCTGCTTAGGTCTGGTATTGATATCTTTGCTCTTGACTATGATGCTATCCTTGCTGCCATGTATGCCTTGTCTGTTAGTGCTGAGGGTGACTGTTACCTGTGTGTGCCGCCTGACCCAGGTAAAGAGGCTGCTGCTCTAGGTGCTAGTGAGTCTTCTCTCCCTGGTACTGCGCCAGCTGCGGCCTTGCATATTTTCATGCTTGACTCAGGTGCCTCACGCTGTTTCTTTTGTGACAGCACCACCCTCACTCCTCTCCCTGCACCTGTCCCGGTCAGACTGGCTGACCCCTCTGGGGGCCCGGTCGTTGCCCATTCCTCCACTGTCCTCCCTTGTCCGGCGGTTCCGTCCGGCTCACTGTCAGGTCTTCACCTCCCCTCGTTCTCTACAAACTTGGTGAGTACCGCGGCCCTCCAGGATTCGATGGTCACTACCACCACTCCTGGGGGTCAGCGTGTGTCGATCTGCACATGTACACGGACGGGTCGTCACCTAGCCACGTTCACACGTCGGCCAGGGTCGAGTCTGTACACACTGGCTACCGAGCCTCCTCAGGTAGCTGCGTCTACCCAGGTGTCCGCGTCAGGTCCGGTAGCACCCCCTTGCACGTGTTGCCTCCTGTCGCACCAGACTCTCCTCTGCCACCACCGTCTTGGTCACCCCTCCTTGCCACGCCTGCGTGGCATGCACTCCCGCCTCCTTGTCTCTGGTCTTCCCAGGTCACTGCCTCCCCTCCCGCCCTCGCCTGCCCCACCCTGCCTTCCTTACGTTGAGGGGCGGCAGCGCGCCGCTCCTCACTCCTCCTCGTTTCCCCCGACGACTGCCCATCTGCAGACTCTCCACATGGACGTGTGGGGTCCAGCCCGCTTCAGTGGACAGGGCTGCAAGCGCTACTTTCTGCTGGTTGTTGACGACTACACGCGGTACACCACGGTCTTCCCCTTGCGCAGCAAGGGTGAGGTCCCTGATGTCTTGATCCCTTGGATCCGTGCAGTACGTCTCTAGCTCCGCGAGCGGTTCTGCCAGGACCTTCCTGTCCTGCGTCTGCACTCTGACAGAGGTGGTGAGTTCTCCTCCGACCTCTTGCGGGACTTTTGTCGTGGGGAGGGCATCACCTAGTCATTCACAATTCCGGCCTCACCGCAGAAAAATGGGATTGCTGAGCGCCGCATTGGCTTAGTCATGGAGGTCGCTCGTACCTCCATGATCCATGCGGCTGCTCCCCATTTTCTGTGGCCGTTTGCGGTCCGGTACGCTGCGCATCAGCTCAACCTGCCCCTCCCCCGCCCCCACCGCTCTTCCTTGCTCCAGGTCCCCCTCCGGTAGACCCCCTCCCGCCCCAGGGTCCTGCTCCCTCAGGTGTGTCTCAGGTAGACCCTCTCCCTGGTACTGTGTCTGTTGAGGTAGCTCGCGACTCAGGTGCTGCTCGAGGTACTGTGTCTGGGGGTGCTGAGCCCGGGGGTGCGGAGCCTAGGGGCGCAGAGTCTGAGGGTGTTGGGTCTGGGGGTGCTGAGCCTGGGGGTGCGGAGCCTGGGGGTGCTGAGCCTGCGGGTGTGGAGCCTAGGGGTGCTGAGCCTGAGGGTGTTGAGCCTGGGGGTGCAGAGTCTGAGGGTGCGGAGTCTGGGGGTGCTGAGCCTCGGGGTGCTGCTTTGTCTGGCGGTCCTGCAGGTGCTTCGCCGCGGCTGTCTCCCCGGCCGGAGCCTCTCTCCCCGCAGCAGCTGCGTGAGTGGCTTGTTCCGTGCGCACGCCTTCGGAGTGGAGCTGCCGGAGCTGGAGCCACTGGAGACACTGGAGCTGCAGGTGATGGAGTTACTGCTGGGGCTGGTGGTACTAGAGGTACTGCAACTGCTGGTCCTACAGATGCTCGTACCAGGGGTACTGGAGCTGCCGGGACTGGTGGTGTTGGAGGTGTTGGAGCTGGAGACCCTACTGAGCCTTGAGTTGCTGGGGCTGGAGGCACTGGAACTGGAGGCACTGGCGCTGGTGGCGCTGGAGCTCGAGGAGCTGGAGCTGGAGGCACTGGCGCGGGGGGAGCTGGAGCTGGAGGAGCTGGAGCTGTTGACCCTGGAGATGGAGGTGTTGGTGGTACTAGTGCTGGAGGCACTGTGCGGTTGCGACCGTACTTTGTTCCCCTGCTTCAGCAGGTTCTTGGTGT